AAAAAACATTCAATTAGTAATGATTGGGAGAAGTGTTTATTAGTTTTTGACAAAGGCAGCCCAGCCATTTTGAAGATACGGAGCTAAATATGTAAAAAATGGCAGTTTTTGAGAGAACTAAGCGTCCGATTTAAATGATTTAAAAAACACAGCGAGGATAAAAAATTATTACATCTTTTTTTTTATTTTCCATAAAATATTTTTGTAATTTGGATCAAAAATTGAAAAAATTACCCAGACTAAGCACAGTCTAAGCGTCACTTTGGTGCAAATGTTTACCCAAGTACGTTTAGACTGTTTATGTACTGGAGCACTTTTCCAATTTTGTGAAAAATTATTGAAAAATGTAAAAATGCCGCCAAGCTAAGCACAGTATAGGTGAAAATGTCGCACAGAATTATTTGCAAGTGCGTATATACAGTGACTTAATTTGTTCGTCAGTAGACTCCTTTTTCTAATAAAATTTTAATTTGCTGGTCAGTAGGGTCTCTTTTTGTATTGACATTTTAAATATGCTCGTCAGTAGAGTCCCTTTTTGTATTTCGATTACAAATATGCTCATCAGTAAAGTCCCTTTTTGTATTAACATTTTAAAGTCGCTCGTCAGTAGAGTCCCTTTTTTATTATCTAGAGATCTAAATTTAAATTTGCTCGTCAGTAGAGTCTCTTTTTCTATCAACATTTTAAAGTTGCTCATCAGTAGAGTCCCTTTTTTATTATCTAGATCTAAATTTAAATTTGCTCATCATTAGAGTCCCTTTTTGTTTAATTGGTCGTCAGTAGAGTCCCTTTTTATGGACATTTTAAATTTGATCGTCAGTAGAGTTCTATTTTGTATTGGCATATAAATTTGCTCGTCAGTAGAGTCCCTTTTTGTATTTCCATTACAAATATGCTCATCAGTAAAGTCCCTTTTTGTATTAGAATTTTAATTTGGTCGTCAGTAGAGTCTCTTTTTTATCTAGATCTAAATTTAAATTTGCTCGTCAGTAGAGTCTCTTTTTTATTATCTAGATCTAAATATGCTCGTCAGTAAAGTCCCATTTTGTATTAAAGTTTTAATTTGGTCGTCAGTAGAGTTCCTTTTTTATTATCTAGATCTAAATTTAAATTTGATCGTCAGTAGAGTCCCTTTTTTATTATCTAGATCTAAATTTGCTCGTCAGTAAAGTCCCATTTTGTACTGAAATTTTAATTTGCTCGTCAATAGAGTCCCTTTTTGTATTAAAGTTTTAATTTGATCGTCAGTAGAGTCCCTTTTCTCTTAAAATTTTAATTCTATCGTCTTGTACTATAATGATACAACTTTTTCAATTTTGTGTAAATTTTAAGGCAACTATTATTTTATAAATTGAATTCCAAATAAAATGACGATTGTTAATGTTCTGGAGATAAATTGATTTATGATTTATGATTTACATTTGATTTGCTCGAAAAACGGCTCGGGTGCGTAAAGAAGTTTTACTTCAAAAATGTTAGATCGTTTCTTTTATGGCTTTGAAAGGTCTCGACGAGTAGATGACGATTTTTGCAAAAAAATATTATTTTGTAATAAAAACAAACAAAACTAATGATTGTATTATAATTAGAATGTTAAGCATTATTATTATTTTTTTAAATATGTGATTAATACTTTTTTATCGAATAAATCGAGGAACTCAAAGTGAACTATGCGAATTTTCACGAATTTATAGCTGAGGTGCTTAAAGAAGTTTTACTTCAAAATTTTTAGATCGTTTCTTTTATGGCTTGTTGGGTATCGTTTGAAAGGTCTTTTTGAATAGAAAACGATTTTCATGAAAAAAATGATTATATATATTATATATCATATAGTTTTAGATATAACAAGATGGCAAAAATAATGAAAGTTACAGCATTTGTTGTAATATATTTGAAAATGTTTAGAATTTCTCGAATATTTCATTACCAGGAAGTTCCAGCAATTTGCCTTAAGACACCATGCCATACACCACTAGTTATAAACTACATTACTACAACTACAATTATTATTATTATTACCTTTATCCTGTTCCTCATCAGATCTATCAGCCCTCAGAACCCTCCTCTTATTCCTCACAGCCGACTCCTTAATTTCTCTCTTCATCCTCCTTAATTGTTTCAACTCTCCTCGTCTGATAGCCCGATCAACTCCACTCAAATTCTCCTCGAATTCATTCTCCAACATGCCACAATCTTGCAACAAATCCCTAAACTGGTTCCTCAATTTGGTGATCTCGTAGAACCTTTGCTCTTCAAAACCGCGTCTCCTGCACCACGACCTGGAAGCAAAATTATAGAAAATTAATAAAAGGACTGCCTTAAGACACCATGCCATACACTATAAGTTATAAACTATATTACTACATCTACAATTATTATAATAATTGTAATATAGTTTATAACTAGTGGTGTATGGCATCGTGCCTTGAGGCAAATTGCTGGAACTTCCCGTACCGTAATGAAATATTCAAGAAATTTTAAATCTTTTCAAATATATTATTACAAATGATGTAACTTTTATTATTTTTGCCATCTTGTTATATCTAAAACTATATGATATATAATATATATATATATATATATATATATATATATATATATATATATACTGACGAGCAAATTTTATAAGAGACAAACGGGGACTCTACTGACGAGCAAAAGATAGAAAATTATTAAAAGGATTCTACTGACGAGCAAAAGTTAAAATATACAAAAAAGGGACTCTACTGACTAGCAAACTTAATCTAGAATTAAAAAAGGGACTCTACTGACGAGCAAACTAATCTAGAATTAAAAAAGGGACTCTACTGACGAGCAAACTTATTTACGAAAAAAATAGGACTTTACTGACGAGAAAAATTATTTACGAAAATTAAATTGGACTCTACTGTTGAGAAAAATGATTAATAAAAATAAAATTGGACTCTACTGACGAGCAAACTTAATTACGAAGATAAAATAGGACACTACTAACAAGCAAAATAAATTATATAAATATATTAGGACTCTACTGACGAGCAAAATGATTTTCAATAATAAAATAGGACTCTACTGACGAGCAAACTTATTTACAAAAAGACAATAGGACTCTACTGGCGAGCAAACTTTATTATGCAAAGTGAAAAAGAAGGACTAATCTAGAATTAAAAAAGAAACTCTTCTGACGAGCAAACTAAATCTAGTATTAATAAAAGGACTCTACTGACGAGCAAAAGTTAATTTTACTCTTTACAAAAAAGGGACTCTACTGACGAGCAAAAGTATAGAAAATTAATAAAAGGTTCCTACTGACGAGCAAAAGTTAATTTTACTCTTTACAAAAAATGGACTCTACTGACGAGCAAAATTATAGAAATTTAATAAAAGGACTCTACTGACGAGCAAAAGTATAGAAAATTAATAAAAGGACTCTACTGACGAACAAAAGTTAATTTTGTTCTTTACAAAAAAGGGACTCTACTGACGAGCAAAAGTATAGAAAATTAATAAAAGGACTCTACTGACGAACAAAAGTTAATTTTGCTCTTTACAAAAAAGGGACTCTACTGACGAGCAAAAGTATAGAAAATTAATAAAAGGACTCTACCGACGAGCAAAAGTTAATTTTACTCTTTACAAAAAAAGGACTCTACTGACGAGCAAAAGTATAGAAAATTAATAAAAGGACTCTACTGACGAGCAAAAGTTAATTTTGCTCTTTACAAAAAAGGGACTCTACTGACGAGCAAAAGTATAAAAAATTAATAAAAGGACTCTACCGACGAGCAAAAGTTAATTTTACTCTTTACAAAAAGGGACTCTACTGACGAGCAAAAGTATAGAAAATTATTCAAAAGACTCTACTGACGAGCAAAATCTATAAGAGACAAACGGGGACTCTACTGACGAGCAAAGGATAGAAAATATACAAAAAAGGGACTCCACTGACGAGCAAACTTAATCTAGATTTTAAAAAGGGACTCTACTGACAAGCAAACTAATCTAGAATTAAAAAAAGGGACTCTACTGACGAGCAAACCAATCTAGAATTAATAAAAGGACTCTACTAACGAGCAAAAGTTAAAATATACAAAAAAGGGACTCTACTGACGAGCAAACTTAATCTAGAATTAAAAAAGGGACTCTACTGACGAGCAAACCAATCTAGAATTAATAAAAGGACTCTACTAACGAGCAAAAGCTGAAATATATAAAAGGGGACTTTACTGACGAGCAGACGAGTATTTCAGTTTGCTCGTCAGTTCATATAACGCAAAATATAGTTTGCTTGTCAGTAGAGTCCTTTTTATTTTCATGTCTGGTAAAACACAGTTGATAATGAAAAATACTAAATACAAAAATTCAAAAAATCACCCAGGCTAAGCACTGTCTAAGCGCCACTCTGGTACAAATAAACTAAAAACTAAACTATAAACTATAAATTCAGTATAAAAAAAAAATTAAAATTAAAATGTTTAATGACCTGGAATCCTGGTGCACATCAGACTCGTATTTGACTTCTAACCAGGCACGATAGGAATTTAGCAGGGTTACAGGATCACCGTGATCTGATTCCAGGGGTTTCCTGGCTCGTTCACATTCTAAATCGCGGTAGGCGCGATTAGTAAAAGGACTTTGGACGTTTAAAGCAGCTGCAGCACTCAGAACTGGTTCGACTTGGTGGAACACGGATCCTGATATAAGCATTTTGCCTAAGATTATGTCCACAGGAATCCTTGCCAAAGCTTTGCCTGTGCTGGTTAAGGACTCATCGTTGGTTAAGGCACTGTGTTGCTTAAGAGATAAAATAGCGTCTTCGATGGACTGGTTTGTAGGCGGTTCGATAAAAGGAAACTTTCGTGCATCCGGGAGACCCATGGAAAGCATTTGTAGCAACAAGGAGTCTAAGGGTACTTTTTGTATCTCCGGGGTTGTGTATAAATCCATTGTATCAAACTGGTCTTGTGTGTACAGTCTGTAACATACACCAGGACCTGTACGACCAGCTCTACCCATACGTTGTTGTGCACTAGCTTTAGAAATCCAGACTTCTTTCAAACGTTGCATCTTAAACATGGTGTCATAAGTCATTTCTTTAACTTTACCGGAATCCACGACGAAACGTATACCGTCTATAGTGACTGAGGTTTCTGCAATATTTGTGGACACTATGCACTTTCTCATACCATCAGGAGCGTAGTCAAAAACTTTATCCTGCTCGGCCAAGGATAAAGTACTGTGTAAGGATAAAACAACCCAGTTGCCGTGTTTTTCGTTGTACGCCTTGGCAGCATCCACAACCGCTGTAATTTCGCTGATACCACTAACAAAAACCAGCATGTCACCTTTTTCAGTCCTCGGATACTTATCATCGATCATTTGCATTATTTGCACATACGGTTCAGGATTAAGACGCTCAGACTTTGTTTTGGCTTCCACAAAAACCGGCCGGTAGTGCAAAGTTATAGGAAACAAACGTCCAGGCACTTGTATCACCCGCGCGTTCTCATTAGCAAAATACGCGCTAAATAAATGTATATTTATAGTCGCAGACATCAGGATAATTTTAATATCCTTTTGGGTTTGCAGCAAACATTTAATAACACCCAACAAAAAATCACCGTGCAAGTGGCGCTCATGAACTTCATCCAACACCAAAACTTGGTATTTGGATAAAACCGTCTCCGACGACATTTGCCTTAACAAAAGACCTTCCGTGATAAAACAAATCTCAGTAGTCTTGTTTTTAGTACGTTCAAAACGTATCTGATACCCCACAATGCTCCCAAATTCATTAAGCATTTCGTACGCGACTCTTTTGGACAAAGATATACAAGCTATACGTCTGGGTTGGGTACAAGCAATACTACGATACCCGTGTTCGTACAAATATTGAGGCACTTGTGTGGATTTGCCACAACCAGTATCACCTGCAACGATGACCACACGTTCTTTATCAACAGCCTGCAAAATTTCTGTTTTATACTGATGTATGGGTAAATTTGTTTGCGCCTCCCGCAACTTTTTTAATTTACCAAACTTTTCTTTTTGCTTAAAATCTAGATAAAACGTGACGACATCCAAGAAGTGCTCAAACTCCAATTTACCTATAACTTGTTTACGTCTACTATAATCGATCGGTATACGATTAAACATAGCATCAGCATTAGGTATCCTAATATTCATGGTAAACCGTTTATCATACTTTTTAGGTACACCTTTGTTACTACAAACTACATCATCGTTTCTAGATTTATTTATCAATTCTTGGCCGCTTTTAGCGAGCAACGTTTCATATTTTTTAACAAAAAGCCAGAAATCTTTATGGTCTTTATTAAATGATCGTTTTCCCTACCGTACATGATGACATTGTTCAACTCGGTTTGGTAGTCCAGAAAACTGAACTTTTTGTCAGGTTTTTCGACATCTTCATCTTGCCTGCTGGATGATGGTTGGGATTTTCTTGATTTTTTGTGCTTTCGGGAATGTTTGTCACTGTCGGAGTCGCTTGTACTGTATCGTCTACTCTGAAAATAATAAAAAAATATATATAGTAACTGAATAAATTAAAAAGCATTATTTTGAAGTAAATATTTGAATAAGATATATCAAGTACAAGTGAAAATCTCTTCGTTTCCATTTGACTCCATTTGACAGTTTTCTTGTAATTCATCATATTATAATATTAATAAAACATTACCTATACATTTTATATATAACAAACGTATCTACATATAAATATAAACAATAAAAGAAATAGAACATAAATAATATTTTTTCCCCATAACCTCAAAATCTATTTCACTATTAATTTACTTACATATTCATGTCTGGACATATTAAATATTATTAATAAACACTAAAATCACTCATATTAACAATCACTATTTATAAATAATTACATAATAACTACTTTTAATATAAAACTAACTTATATTTATCTTTATTTACAAAAGATATGACGATTTGCAAATTTTGCATCATAACCTCAAAGAGATGTCAAAGAGCTGTTAAACAAAATGGAGTTCGGGTTTTTGTGGCGCAAAATTCAAATTATTTAAAACTAACTTAGAAAAAATAAAAATGTAATGCATATTATTATTAATATATTTATTATTATATTATTTAAGTGTATATTATTATATAAAACAATTAAATTACACTAAATTTAAATAAATAAATTGTCCAAAAGATGTGCCAAAGAACTGTCAAACAGAATTGAGTTCGGTTTTTTATGGCGCAAAATTCAAATTATTTAAAACCAACTTAGAAAAAACAAAAATGTAATGAATATTATTATTAATATATTTATTATTATATTATTTAAGTGCATATTATTGTATAAAACAATTAAGTTGTATTAAATTTAATAAATAACAAATTTTGCATCATAACTTGAAAGAGATGACAAAGAACTGTCAAACAAAATGGAGTTCGGTTTTTTATGGCGCGAAATTCAAATTATTTGAAAAGTAACATTTTAGAAACAAAAATTGAATGGATTTAATAATTAATATATTTATGTACTTAATAATTAAATTAGTTCGGTTCTTTAAGGCGCAAAATTCAAATTATTCAAAAACTAACATGTTAGAAACCAAAATTAAATGGATTTAGTAATTAATATATTTATGTACTTAATAATTAAATTATGATTATATTGAAAATTAAATTGTGTTAATTAAATATATTTATGTTTCTAAAGTAGTTTATCAAACAATTTTTTGATACAACTGATTCAAACGACATTTTTTGCATCACTTAATCTTAAATATTATAAGAAATAACATTAAATTTTTTAATTTAGAATTTACTTTTTAATTTAAATTTCTAATATAGAAAGTTTTCTTTTGACTTTAAATAATATATTGACTTACAAAGCTAACAAGTAATGAATCTTAAATTAAATACATTAGATCACAATTTAATTAATAAACATTTTTTGTTAATATTTAAATTAATTAGACATTAATTTAAAATTATTTTTTTAATTTAATGAAAGTTACTAAACGCCTTTTGCATAAAAACATCCAAGAAAAAATAGGATTGAAAGAACTATTCTTAAATCGATTCTAAATATAACTTTCATTTGATTCGAGTTATTATATTATTATTAACTTAATACTATTAAATAATAATTACTTAAGATATTTTTGGGAAGTCCAGCTGATTCAAGGCAGTTTTGATAATCACCATCAAATTTCTTCCTAAATATCTGAAGAGTGTTGATAAACTTACAATTAATTCTTTGTCATCAATTAAATATTTTGACTGTAGTTTTCTGCAAAACAAATAAATGAAATTAATCATATTTTATTAATTTATAGTAACTTTCACTACTAATTAAATTTCCAATCGATGTCCTTCAAACATATTTATAAAATACACTTTTAATCAATTTGTAGTAAACGAGCTTAAAGAAGTTTTACTTAAAAAAATTGAAAATGTGTTTTTTGGCATGTTGGGTATAATTTGAAAGGTCTTTTTGAATAGAATCCGAATACTGTAATAAACCATGTAGTTTATCCACTTTTAATGTATTTGTGGCAAACGAGCTTAAAGAAGTTTTACTTCAAAAACATTAAATTGGTATTTTGTTCATCGTTTGATAGGTCTTTTTGAATAGAACCCAAATATACAATTAACTATGAGGTTAATCAATTTTTAATGAATTTGTAGTAAACGAGCTTAAAGAAGTTTTACTTCCAAAAAATTTAATTGTGTTTTTTTTTGCATGTTGGGTATCATTTGAAAGGTCTTTTTGAATAGAATCCAAATATAGCAATTAACTATGAGGTTTATTAGCTTTTCATGAATTTGTAATAAACGAGCTTAAAGAAGTTTTACTTCCAAAAAATTTTAGGTTGTGTTTTTTGGCATGTTGAGTATCATTTGAAAGGTCCTTTTGAATAGAATCCGAATACTGTAATTAACTATGAGGTTTATCTACTTTTAATGAATTTGTAGTAAACGAGCTTAAAGAAGTTTTACTTCAAAAATTTTAGATTATATCTTTTATGGCATGTGGGGTATCATTTGAAAGGTCTTTTTGAGTAGAATCCGAATACTCATATTAAGTCTGCGATTTGTCTACAAAATAAACACTTTTAATGAATTTCTTGTAAACGAGCTTAAAGAAGTTTTACTTCAAAAATTTACAATGTATATTTCATGGCATGTGGGGTATCATTTGGAAGGTCTTTTTAAATACAATCTGAATACTAAAATAACTTTACACACAAACATACACACACACATACTTTTTCCAAATTTTCAATTCAGAATTACTTGAAACGTCGAATTAAAATTAATATATTAATATAATAAAATTAGCAAATCGGATTTTCTGGGGGAAACAATACTTCTTTAGAGAACTCTACTGACAAGCAAATTTAATAGCAAAATCCCAGAAAAAAGGACTCTACTGACGAGCAAAACTAAACAGCAACTTAGAAGATAAAAAATGACTCTACTAACGAGAAAATTAAATTAAACCTCAAATGTAAAAAAGGGTTCTACTCACGAGCAAAATTCACCAGCATTTTCGAAAATAAAAAAAGACTCTACTGACGAGCATAATTAAATTCGAACCTCAAATATAAAAAAGAACTCTACTAACAAGCAAATTAAATTTAAACCTCAAATATAAGAAATGACTACTAGAAAATAAAAAAGGACTTTACTGACAAGCAAATATAAATAGCAACTTAGAAAATAAAAAAGGGACTCTACTGACGAGCAAAACTAAACAGCAACTTGGAGGAATTTAAACCTCAAATATAAAAAAGGACTCTACTAGAAAATAAAAAAGGACTCTACTGACGAGCAAAATTAAACAGCTACTTAGAAAATAAAAAGGGATTCTACTGACGAGCAAAATCTTAAAAAAAAGAAGTTAAAAAAGGACTCTACTGACAGAGCAAATTTCAATATAAATCTAGAAAATAAAAAAGGACTCTACTAGTGATTTTTTGAATTTTTTAAATTTTTAATCCAAAATTACAAAAATATTTATGGAAAATAAAAAAAGATGTTAGAATTTTTTATCCTCAAAAGCAATTGTTTTGTCAATACAAGCAGAAAGTTTTTTAGATACAAAAAACACACACACACATATACACACATATCCATTTAGTTTTCTGAGATATGCCCCTCAAAAATGTTCAGAAACTTTCAAAACGTCGGGAAATGCAAAACTTATCATTCTCGATTTTTGACACCTTACTATAACTACTACGGGAAGTTAATAAAATAAGGGTAGGTTTTTAGTTCCAAAATTCAAAAATCATATTACAAATATAATAAAAAATACAAAAAAGTAATAAATAATTTATAACAATTACCATATATCATTTACTACCTGCACACTTGGTTGCACCCCCCGGTTCCGCCAACTTCTTCTGCCGATTACAATGTGGCGTCGTCGGATCCCATATATAAACATAATACAAGGACAATATGATAGCAGCCAGAGAGACACAAAAAACATACGCCACCACTGTAAAAATCCTGATGAGCTTCTGATTCTGTTTCGGTTCGTAGAGGCGATCCTTCGAGTCGTCTCCTGCCAATTTCACTTTCTCCTCTTGGCTACTTTTGTAACTCATGGTAATTGAAATAGTAATAATAATAAAATTAATAGTGATAATAATTAATAGAATTAATAATTAATGGTGATAAGAATTCATTTTTGTTTTTGTTTTATTATTAGGTTATGCTTGTGTCACTTAACAAATTGATATAGATGTGGATATGTAAAAGTTACTAAGGCGCATGTTCAAAGATTTCAACTGTACGATATATTATTTTACGTTGCTTCGGTTGCGCTTGTATATATTATTTTACGGATAGTTTACATTTTCAAAGAAACTATTTTTAGATCGGCATTTGTTTATTAGCACGACTTTGTTACATTTGAAAACTGTAACAAAAGTATGCTGGTGAGAGGGCGAAGGGGGGGATCGACAAAAAATAACAAAATATGACGAATATAATAAAGGACTCTACCGACGAGCAATTTAAATCTCAAATATAATAAAGGACTCTACTGACGAGCAATTTAAATGCTAGAAGATAAAAAAGGACTCTACTGACAAGCAAAATTAAGAAAACTAGCTGTAAGTGGAATTCTGTCTTAAGGCAATTAAGGCATCGTGCCTTAAGGCAAATTGCTGGAACTTCCCGTGCCAAAAATTATTATTTTTTTAAAAACGATTAACATTTTTGAAAAAATTTTACTTCGAAAAAATAAGATTTTTTAGAAATTTTAAATTGGACAAAAAATTACTTTTTTTGAAAAAAAAAATTTTTTTTTTAAAAAAAATTTTTAAACAATTTTTTTTGTAAAAATTTTTTTTTGGAAAAAATGTTATCTTCATTTTGACATATTTTGGAAGATCTGAACTTTTTTTCAAAGCAATCGTACTGCCTTAACTGCATAGAGACAAAATATAAAGCGCGTAAGCGCCGCGTCGCTGTCTAACGGAAAAACATTGGTACGGAACCCATAGGAATGTAAACAAAACTTATACTTATTGTTAAAATCTCAATAAAATATCTGATAATTTGATATGCATATGTCTAATGTCTAATGATTATTGTTGACCGCCAAATGTTATTTTTTTTAGTTTTTTTTACTAGATCTCCGAAACCGCTAGACCTATCTTCATGAAAATTTGATCAAATCTTCATCCTGTTAATACAAGTAAAATGTTTTTTGAATTATTCCAATCGGACGCTCCGTTCTCTTAAAAACTGAGTTACCGTTTTTGGCCCTTTTTGCCCCATATCTTCGGAATGGCTAGACCTGCCTTTGACAAAAACTAATCAGCACGTCTCCTTATCAATACGAATCGAATGTTTTTTTGAATTATTCAAATTGCTTCATCCGTGTTCCCGAAATCGTCGACGAAAATTTGTATCCGAACACACACACATGGACGCACACACACACACACACACACATACATCAATTTTCTCCAAGGTATGCCAACATATTCAGAAACCTCTGAAACGTGAAGATATATAAAAATTTTCATTTTCGATTTTTTTGCGATTACTTACCCTATGGAAAGTTAATTATAAATAAATCAATTTATCATCTCCAGAACATTAACAATCGTCATTTCATTTCGAATCAAATTCCAAAAAAAAATAGTTGCCAAATTTACACAAAATTGAAAAAGTGCTCCCGCATAGTCACAGTCTAAACGCATTTGCAAATAATTCTTTGCGACATTTTCACTTATACTGTGCTCAGCTTGGCGGCATTTTCACATTTTTCAATAATTTTCACAAAATTGAAAAAGTGCTCCAGTACACAAACAGTCTAAACGCACTTGCGTAAACATTTCTACCAGAGTGGCGCTTAGACTGTGCTTAGCTTGGGTGATTTTTTGAATTTTTAGTCCAAAATTACAAAAAAAAATTTTTGAAAAAAAATTAGAAACAAAAAATTTTTTTTTCCAAAATCAATTGTTTTGTTGAAAAAAGCAGAAAGTTCTTTGAATCATTTAAATCGGACGCTTAGTTCTCTCAAAAACAGCCATTTTTTTTAAATTTAGCTCGGTATCTCCGAAACCTCTGGGCCTACCTTTGCCAAAAACTAATCAGCACATCTCCCTATCAATAGGAATCGAATGTTTTTTAAACCATTCAAATCGGTTGATCCGTTCTCTCAAAAACTCGCTTTCTATTTTTTGCACTCTTTGCTCCATATCTCCGTAACGGCTGGACCTGCCTTTGCCAAAAACTAATCAGCACATCTCCCTATCGATAGGAATCGAATGTTTTTTAAACCATTCAAATCGGTTGATCCGTGCGCCCGAAAACGTGGACGAAAAAAAGCGGACATACAAAACACACACACACACACACACACACACACATCCATTTTTTCTGAAGTATGCCAAAATGTTCAGAAACCTTCAAAACGTCGAGAAATGTAAAAATTTTTGATTTCGATTTTTGGACGATTACAATAACTTACCCTACGGGAAGTTAATAATTATTTTCGAAAAAAAATCATTAAAATTTTGAAGCATGTAAAAAAATTTAGAAATAAAACACAATTTAGAAATAATCCAAAAAAATTACATAATTCATAACATATAAAACTAACAAAGCTTTGACGGTGGTCCGACTAGACTCGGATAAAAATTTTAATTACATTTATTATTTTTAGTTAAAAATGAATATATTACGATACAACTTGCTCTGTCGTATAACTTACAATTAGTTTAAAGTTTTGGGTCGCCGTTTTTATTTAGTTAAAATTCGAATCGATATTTATTTCCCATTGACCCCAAAAGTAAGGGCGCATGCGCCCGCACGTCATATAATTGACACATATTTATTTAACCCAGTTTAAATATTATATATATATATATATATATATATATATACATACATAATTAATCCAACATACTGTATTTATAGATAACTTTTTACTCACCAAACTTTTGTATCTGTTGCGGTTCTTAGTTCTCGTCTTCTCCGAACTTTTTCTTAAAATTTTTCCTTAAAATTCCTTAAAATATCCTAAAAATTCACCTTAATAAAAAAATGAATAAAAAAAAAGTATTATGTAATTAAAAATTATTATATTTTATTAAGTATTTCAACAAATATTATATTATTTTTATGTGCACTTATGAGCAGGCATCAGCAGCCATAAATAAAAAAAATTACAAAAATAAGTCTACCATCTACCAATTGCCTCTAACTCCAAGTTTCAACTTGATACCTTCCACATTTAATCAATTCTTCTAAATCATCCTCTCCGTAAACATTTTGAAAGGATTCTTTTACAGCCTCAGGCATATTTTTAGAGTTGCCAGATACGAAAACGTGAGCGTTATTGTTTAGTAAATTTCTTACCAGCTCCTTGTTTTTCTCTATTAGATGCTGCACATATCTAGAGAAAAAAGATAAAAGAAAGTGTCTCAAAAATTATATATATAATATATTAGGATGGAATTTAATATGGTCATTTTCGAATTTCTTTGCTCCCAAGGGCTCAAATGCTTCCAAAATAATAAAAGAAAATTCTCTCAAAGTTTTAGCTCTTAATATTAACTTTTAGATAGTCCGCAATTCAATTAAAAGTTTTTAGTAACTTACATTTTATCTTCTTGGTCCCTCGAAAAAGCACAAACTAACCGTATGATATCCTTATTATGCAATCTGTGAATATAAAATATTAATTTATCAAGTTAACATTGATATTATTATTATTATTATTATTATTTCTAATATTGTTATATTTATTATTATCTTTCACTAATTGTTTTTATTCTACTCTATTGTTTTTCTAGTATTATTTTTATTATTCAGAAATTTTACCTATTTTACTTATTAATTTTATTATTATTTTTATTTGCTTTTATTTTATATTAAATCAACCTACTACAGGTATCATTTTATTGAAAATTTTATCCTTTATTTTTGTGCTCTTTTTATTAAATTTACATAATTGTTTATTACTGTTACTAGATGTTAATTATTTAGCAGTTGTAATATAATATAAAAAATAATAAAATATAAATATAATAATAAAAAATAATAAAATAATAGAATAATAAATAGCAAATAGTTACCTCTCCAGATCATCCCTACAATGAAAGTCTTTATCTTTATTTCGACACCCAAAAAATAATAAACTGGTAGAAATATTTTTCATTCCCTTATCACAGTCAGAAGTAAATTTTTGCAAAATTTCATGTTCTCTCCACAGTAGAACACTTCTGAACGGTGCCAAACCTGTACCTGGTCCAACCATTATTAACGGAGTTTCCTGTAAAAAAAAATTAACCGGGTAAAAGAAAAAATTCAAAATTCATGATACCTATAAGGAGGTTTTTGGAGGATCGATTTTTCAAGATATTCAAAATTAATTACAAACCCCCCCCCTTGCTCTACTAATCATCACATGTATTTTTAGTTACAAGAAAAAATTATAAAATTTTTGATTTTTTTTTAAATGTTTTTTTAAAAAAAAAAACAAAATCAGGTGAAAAATAAATTCATGTGAAATGATATACCCTATCTCCTCCACGTGATATTTCATAATTTTTTTTAAAAAAAAATCCAAACATTTTCAAGCGAAATAAAAATTTTTACAATTACAATGCATGTGATGTTTGGTGGCTGAATGGGTTCAAAAATTCTTAAAAAATCGATCACGTGATTAATGAACGTCGATAAAAAAAAATTAATGAGTAGAGGCCTTTTGTCTGTCAGTAGAGTCCTTTTTGTTTTATTGATAGAAGTCTGTTTTCTTGTCAGTAGAGTCATTTTTATTTTATTACCAGAAGTCTGTTTGCTTGTCAGTAGAGTCCTTTTATTTTATTGCCAGTAGAGTTCTTTTGCTTGTCAGTAGAGTCCATTTTATTTTATTACCAGTAGTTGTTTTGCTTGTCAGTAGAGTCCTTTTGTCTGTCAGTACAGTCCTTTTGCCTGTCAGTAGAGTCCTTTTTATTCTATTGACAAAAGTCCGTTTTCTTGTTCGTAGAGTCTTTTTTAATTTATTGCCAGAGATCTGTTTGCTTGTCAGTAGAGTCCTTTTATTTCATTGTCAGTAGAGCACTTTTATTTTATTGTCAGTAAAGACGTTTTGCTTGTCAGTAGATTCCTTTTGTCTGTCAGTATAGTGCTTTTGCAAGTCATACGTAAAGTTCATTTTATTTTACCATTAGCTTGTCAGTAGAATCATTTTGTCTGCCAGTGTAGTTCTTTTGCTTGTCAGCCTAGAGTCCTTTGTCTGTCAGTAGAGTCCTTTTTATTTTTTTGCCAGTATTCCGTTTGCTCGTCAGTAGAGTCCTTTATATTTTATTGCCAGTAGAGTGAGTCTATTAATTTAATTACCAGTAGAGTCCTTTTGTCTGCCAGTAATTAATATTGGTAATGCCAGTATTTCATTACCAGTAGTCCTGTTGCTTGTCAGTAGAGTCCTTTTGTCTGACAGTAGAGTCCGTTTGCCTGTCAGTTAAGTCTTTTTTATGTTATTATCAGTACTCCTTTTGTCTGTCAGTAGAGTCCCTTTTGAATATCACCAAGTATCACTAAGGGAGAGATAAGCCCAAAAATCCTTTAAAAAATCGATTACGCGATTAATGAATGTCCACAAAGAAAGTCATCCCAACTGCATCTTTGTGATGCATTATAATATACGGTTATATGTGTAAAACTTTAATAAGCTGAGAAAAAAGGACCTTATCTCATACTTCTAAGAACTGCAAAGTTAAAATGATTTATTGCTATATATTTCATTACGGTGCGGCAAGTTCCAGCAATTTCCCTTAAGGCATGATGCCATGCACCACTAGTTTGAATATAGAGTTATTTTATACTTACAAGTTCTTTTGGAAACTTCATCGTCCCTTTTTTGCACCAAAGCCAAACTTTGTCGCCTTTTTTTAGAGAAGCAAGCCAATTTGAACACAAACCTTTTCGTGGAGATTTTAAAATAGTTCTGGGGAAAAAATCACGAGAATTTTAAGTAATTTAAGTAAATCTATCTTATGCTTGTTTATTGATGGCGAAACAGTAAAAATGACTATTTATTGCACAGCAAATAGAGAGACATTTTCACAGTTTCACAATGCTATTTTATGAGGCAAATTTGCCCGGTATATTCATCTTTTTCTTTTTTTTATTTCTGCTAATTTTAGCAATCAGATTACAATACAATCTATAAGTTAAAAGTTATGGTATTGAAAATTAAAATCAAGGAGGAAAAAAATAGAATTAAAGAAAAGAAATAAAATAAATAAATAAATAAATAATAATTAAAATAATAGTATATTTATCTGAATTATAAAATATATACCTGTATTCGACTACAGCAACCAAAATGTCCAAAGTTTCCGAACCAGGTCTTGAAGCAATCGAAAAAGCCCTTGGTTTTATTGTCTCGAAAATTTCGAACATGGTTTGTAATGTTAGTTTGCTGGCAGCATGTGGAAAATCATGCAAAACCTGTTAAAAATAAGAAAAATAATATATTTAGCTAAATCTTAAATTAATGGAGAAATTCTGCCGTAGTAGAATTTGATGACACACCCAAATTCCGTAGCAGAACATAAAACTTAGTATCACAATGTCTTCAAATTACTTTTTAAGTAATATAATTTCCTAATTTATGAAATAAATTAATTAAATAAATAATCCCTAAAATTAAATTTAAATTTTTGATGCAATTATGGTTTTATAAACATCCTTTATATTTGTTTCAAAATTTTGATTAATCTATAGCTCTATATGTTGTAATAAGAATTACAATTTACATAAAATTTATTTACATTTGCTCATAAAATAGCGCAATAAAGTTATGATAACTGCATCATCAAAGATACTCTGTTATCATAAGATTCTTTCTTGCTTTGTCTGCATGTAAAATACGCCTGATGTCACAGCAAATAGACATTTTCTAAATTTTCTCTACCAAGCATAAGATACCATTGCCATGACAACGCTATTTTATGAGCTCTGTTACGGCAGAATTGCCCCATAAGTAATTTGCATATTTCTATTATTACCTCTAAAACACTTCTTTTAGGCCGATGCACATAGTCATACAAATCTTGAAGCCCTTCAGGTTGTGATAATTCTATCAGCTTATCGCGTTCCAAAATTTCGTCCTTTGTAAGATTATCATTTTCAAGACCATTCGATTGACTGTTGGTATTGTCTGAAGACTTGTTAAATCCATAAGAGAGTTGTTGAAAGGCCCTCGCCCTTGGCCTTGCTGATAAGTCCCAAACGTGAGTCGCCAATGTTAGAAGAGATAAGGGATTTTTTAGGTAGGAAGGTACTGGAAGTTCTGGAAGAATAAGATGTAACAAAATTATATATAATATATATATATATATATATATGTATATATATTTATATATATATATTAGAGTGGTCCTTAAGATGAACATGTTCGAATTTCTTTGCTCCCAAGGGCTCAAATGCTTCCAAAGTAATAAAAGAAAATTCTCTGAAAGCTTCAAGTCTTAATATTAACATTTAGATAGTCCGCAATTCGATTAAGTTTTTTATATTAATTATTAAGGAAATTCTTCATTTATTTTTTGGGTCAATTTTAAATCATAAATTTTTACCCTCTATTTCACAAACTCCTGTTCCGTAAAAATTATTACAGTACTATCTATTTGACTAAAATTCAATAGAGATTTTTTGAGATTATGACAAAGCTCAATTTTATATAAAAAATATAAAGCGTTGTCCAAATCTAATGCTTATTTTTAATGCATTGGATCAATTGTCAATAGTCCGTTTGCTCGTCAGTAGAGTCTCTTTATTTTATTGTCAGTAGAGTCCTTTTATTTTATTGTCAATAGAGTCCTTTTATTTTATTGTCAGTAGTCCGTTTGCTTGACGGTAGAGTCCCTTCATTTTATTGTCAGTAGAGTCCTTTTATTTTATTGTCAGTAGAGTCCTTTTATTTTATTGTCAATAGAGTCCTTTTATTTTATTGTCAGTAGTCCGTTTGCTTGACGGTAGAGTCCCTTTATTTTATTGTCAGTAGAGTCCTTTTATTTTATTGTCAGTAGAGTCCTTTTATTTTATTGTCAATAGAGTCCTTTTATTTTATTGTCAGTAGTCCGTTTGCTTGACGGTAGAGTCCCTTCATTTTATTGTCAGTAGAGTCCTTTTATTTTATTGTCAGTAGAGTCCTTTTATTTTATTGTCAATAGAGTCCTTTTATTTTATTGTCAGTAGTCCGTTTGCTTGACGGTAGAGTCCCTTTATTTTATTGTCAGTAGAGTCCTTTTCTTTTATTGTCAATAGAGTCCTTTTCTTTTATTGTCAATAGAGTCCTTTTATTTTATTGTCATTAGTCCGTTTGCTTGACGGTAGAGTCCCTTTATTTTATTGTCAGTAGAGTTGATTTGCCTATCAGAGTATCCATTTGCCTGCCAGTAGAGTCCTTTTGTCTGTCAGTGCAGTCAGTAGAACTCTAATTTTATTGTCTGTAGAATTCTTTTGCCTGTCAGTAGAGTCCTTTTATTTTATTGCCAGGAACCCGTTTACTTGTCAGTAGAGTCTTTTTTATTTTATTGTCAGTGGTGTCCTTTTGTCTGTCAGTAGAGTCCTCTAATTTTATTGTCAGTAGAGTTCTGCTGTCTGTCTGTTAAAGTCTTTTTTTATTTTATTACCATTAGTTGTTTTGCTTGTCCGTAGAGTCCTTTTGTCTGTCAGTAGAGTCCTTTTATTGTCAGTAGAGTTCTTTTTATTTTATTGCTAGTAGTCCATTTGCTTGTCAGTAGAGTCCCTTTTGTAAAATTTTGAATTAGGATTTTTTTTTTAAAAAAACCTTTAAAATTTATTGAAAGCTGGAAAAAAATGAAATTTTGGAGAATTTTGTCATTTTTGAAAAAAATGACTTTTTTGAAAAATTTGAATTTGTCGTAATATTCTGAATTTGTTTGTATTCTTTTGATTTTTTGGAAAAAATTATATCTTTGAAAATTTTGTCATTTTTGAAATAAAAAATGACTTGAAAAACTTGAATTTTTTGTAATATTCTGAAATTTTTATATACTTTGATTTTTCTGAAAATTGTGAACATTTTTTCAATGCAAGCGAACTGCATGGCTGTTTAAAAGAAGAAATATCGAAGCGCGTAAGCGTCGCATCGCAATCTAACGTATAAACATTGGTACGTAACCCATAAAAATATAAAAAAAAATCATACTTATTATTAAAGACTCTATAAAATATCTGAAAATTTGATGTGCACATGTCTAATGATCATTTTTGACCGCCAAATGGCATTTTTTTTTACTTTTTTCGTTAGATCTCCGAAACCGCTAGACCTGCCTTCATGAAAATCAATTCTTCATCTTGTCAATACAAGTAAAATGTTTTTTGAATCATTCAAACCGGACACTCCGTTCTCTCAAAAACTCGGTTTCTATTTTCCGCACTACTTGCTCCGTATCTCCGTAACGGCTAGACCTGCCTTTGCCAAAAACTAATCGGCACGTCTCCTTATCAATACGAATCGAATATTTTTTGAATTATTCAAATCGGTTGAATTGGGTTACCGAAATCGTCCATCTAACATACATCAATTTTTTCCAAGGTATGCCAAAATGTTCAGAAACCTTTGAAACGTAAAGATATATATAAATGTTCATTTTCGATTTTTTTGCGATTACTATAACTTACCCGACGGAAAGTTAATTAATATTAATTTATAATGGAAACTAGTAACTACAAAATAATTCACCATCATGAAACAATCAAAATATTTTTATGACAGAAAAAACATTGTTACGACCACAAAATCACATTTCCACTTTGCCATTAACATTTTCCAAATTTTGGTCGTATATCAAAATTATATTAAAAAAATATAGCTTAATAAAAAAGTCGTACAATATTCACACAAAATTAATTATTTTGTGATGGGAAAAAAACACACTTGTTATCAAAACTTAATTTATTTTATCTTATACAATTAAGATTAATATATAAAATTGCAATAAGATTTGCAATCCAAACTTAAATATCTTGATCCCAACCGTCTTCTTGCGACAAAAACCTTCGTTTTACCGTCGTGTTCATGTAGGGCCTCAAAGCCCATTCCGTTTCTGAAGCCTTTTCAACATCCAAAGTTCCTAATTTGATGGCATATAATTTTAATTGAAATCTTGGACCCACCTAAAAAATAAAAATAAGTAGACCCAACAAATAGATAAACATTTTCACAGTTTTCACTAACAAAAAACAAGCATAAGATAGTATTGCCTTGACAACCTTAAATTTTATTATCAAATTATTATTATTATTATCTTACCTCCGTCATTTCCAACTCCTTATCCACAGTCCTAAAAGTATGATGTCTAAAACTAATATAATCGTCATGATTCGCGAAAGTGATAACCCTCTTCGAGTCCTCCTTAGGAACCGGGTACAAGTACTTCAATATCGACATAACCCTCAGCCCAAGTTTATCTTTAAAATTATGGAAAACCAGATGAGGCTTCTGCTCGGATATCGGGCCGACATCAGGAATGTCGTGTCTCATAACGACATCGCTGATTGTGAAATAGGCGGTGGGGCCGTAGGGTAAATGACAGACGACTAAGGTGTCGGGTACGCCTCTGTGTTCGTGGACTACTATGAAATCTGTGACGTCGTTGGCACGACATGCGTGGATTATTTGTTTCATTTCGTAGTTTCCTCGGTTCATTCGTTGAGCGTTTGGGAATAGTAATCTGGGGAAGAAAATAGATAACAATATAGAGAAATAAAATATATACAGTAGAACTCCAATTATCCGAACTCCAATTATCCGAATTCCGACTATCTGAATCGCCGATTATCCGAATCACTTTCAGAAAAAAAATTGTCCCAAAAAAGTCTAAGTGCGCTATTATTCTTCCACCCGCGAAGCCAGTGTAGGCACATTGTTTGTTTTGATTTGACTGAGACGTTTACAAAACAATGATTTTTATTTCTAAACTTGTACATAAGTACATTTTATTAGGTTGTCAAATATCTCCCTTCCGCTTTTTTGCTCTTGGTTTATAATACAAAAAGGCGGAAGGGAGATATTTGACAACCTAATATTTATATTTAAAACATGTGAAAATGTCATGTTTCTTTCATTTAATTCAATAAAAAAAATAGTGCAATATCAAAACGTAACTTTTTTTTTCTCCAATGGCAATTTTAAAAACAAACTCCGATTATCCGAATATTCGATTATCCGAATGGATTCCGGTCCCCATTAATTCGAGTAATTGGAGTTCTACTGTACTTGTTTAACACGTTTCCAATCTTACGCGGTTTTTGACAATATTCCATTTTTTAACGAAATTTATTAATTTTCGTATTTACACGAAAGAAAGTACAAAGAGTAGTAGTCTGTGGTTATGATGAAAATATGTAGATGATATGGAAACTCAATGTTTTATGATCCAAACTAAATTTAATGTGCGTATATGAACTAGTTTGTTTGAAATAATAGGTTGTCAAATATCTCCCTTCCGCCTTTTTGTATTATAAACCAAGAGCAAAAAAGCGGAAGGGAGATATTTGACAACCTAATATCAAAACAAAGAGCATCACTGATTTTAAACTTTGTTAATAGTTAATAATATATAATAGTTAATAGTTAATAATAGGTTGTCAAATATCTCCCTTCCGCCTTTTTGTATTATAAACTAAGAGCAAAAAAGCGGAAGGGAGATATTTGACAACCTAATATCAAAACAAAGAGCATCACTGATTTTAAACTTTGTTTTTAATTAGAGTTTATATATAATTGATAGCGTAAATTTATTCAAAGTAAATAACAGAATCATTTTTTGGTAAAAATCTGTAATTTATGAGAAAAGAATTAATAGTTTGGCAATGGTAAAAGATGAAAATAAAAAACTGCAATGTAAAAAAAAGGTTATATCAGTATTAATTTTTATTTATAAAGAAAATGCAATATTGAAAATAGTTTTTTTTATATCTGTTCTATTAATGAAATTAATTATTAACTTCCCGAAGTAGAAGTTTATGTTTTCATAAAAAAATCCGATTCGCTAATTTTATGAATTTTCTTGTACGTTTCAAGCCATTCTGAATCGAATGAGACCAAATTTAAGGAAAAACTATGTGTGTGTGTGTGTGTAAACAGATTTTTCGCCGCAAATCGACGTTTTCTCCAAAACGGCAGAAAAGTGAAATTTTTTTCGCCCACGTTTTAGCCCGCAATTCTGAATCGATCGAATATTACGGCCCAACGACAAGTAGTTTAATTTAAAAAATTTGTCAAAGTTTGCAAGAACTAATTGAAATCAAATTTCTAGAGGGAAATCGAATTTCCAGAGGATAAAAATAAAATTTTCGGCAAAAAAACAAATTACCAGGCGGAAAAATCAAATTTCTAGGCGGTAATCAGATTTTTAGGGAAAAAAATTTAAATTCCCAGGGAGGAAAATAGAATTTTTAGGAAAAAAACTAAATTTTCATGGAGGGAAATAGAATTTTTAGGAAAAAAACTAAATTTTTAGGGAGGGAAATCGAATTTTCAGGGCGAAAAATTCTAATTTCCAGAGGGATGAAATCAAACTTTTAAGGGATAAAAATCAAATTTCCAGCACAAAAAACAAATTTCCAGGTGGAAAAATCAAATTTCTGGGAGAATCAGATTTTTAGGAATAAAATTAAATTTCCAGGGAGATAAAATTAAATTTTCAGGTTATAAAATCAAATTTCGAGAAGATAATCGAATTTTTAGGAAAAAAACTAAATTTTCAGGCGGAAAAAACAAATTGCGAAGGAATAAAATCTAATTTTCAGGGCGAATAAAACAAATTTCCAGGGGATAAAAATCAAATTTCCAGAGGATAAAAATCAAATTTCCAGAGGATAAAAATCAAATTTTCAGGGAGGGAAATAAAATTTCCAGGCGAAAAATTCTAATTTTCAGGGAGGAATCAAATTTTTAGGAAAAAAACTAAATTTCCAGGCGGAAAAAAACAAATTTCGAAGGTATAAAATCTAATTTTCAAGGCGAAAAAATCTAATATAATAGCCAGGGGGATAAAATCGAATTTCCAGGGGATAAAAATCTAATTTCCAGGGGTAATCAAATTTTTTGGGGGAAAAAAATCAGGGAAGGAAATAAAATTTTCAGGCAGATGATTCAAATTTTCAGGGTAGAATCAAATTTTTAGGGAAAAAAATCTAATTCCCAGGGAGATAAAGTGAAACTTACAGGGGATAAAAATCAAATTTCGAAGGGATAAAATAAATTTTCAGTCCAAAAAATCAACTTTTCAGGGAGGAATCAAATTTTTAGGGAAAAAAACTAAATTTTTAGACGAAAAAAACAAATTTGGAAGGAATAAAATCTAATTTTCAAGGCGAAAAAATCTAATATAATTTTCAGGGAGAAAAATATAATATCCAGGGGATAAAAATCAAATTTTCAGGGAGAAAAATAAAATTTTCAGGCGAGTTAAGTCAAACTTACAGGGGATAAAAATCAAATGTCGAAGGGATAAAATAAATTTTTAAGCCAAAAAATCAAATATGCAGGGGGAATCAAATTTTTAGGGAAAATAATCAAATTTTCAGTAAGCAAAAAATTCAGGCAAAGAAAAATCAAATTTTCAGGGAGGAAATAAAATCAGGAAAAGGATATCAAATTTTCAAGAAGGAAAAGAAAATTTTCAGGCAAAAAAATCAAATTTTCAGGAGGAAAAATTTGCTTTTGTGCTGTGATGAGTCTAACATTATCAATTCATTAAAATTTAAAGTAATAAACTACAATTTTAGGGTATACAAGCCAACTTATGTGTCTGTGCACAATAATTAATATAATTACAGTTAAATTAAATGTGTTTGAGAAAATTCTATTAGTAATCGCAAAGTTTAGATATAATTGATAGCGACAACTTTATTTTTGAAATAAACAGTTGAACTAATTTTATCTAAATACAGTGGAACCTTGATTATTCGGACTAACAACCGTGACTGAGTTATATGTGTGTACATACCTAGAATTCGAATTTTTGCACTATTTATGCTGCAGTTTAGTATATGTATGTAATATAATTTAAGAAAATATATATGTACATGCATAAGGAAATGTTAATTTCTTATTAAACATTGATTTTCGTTGATATCTATGTATGTATTTAATATTTTTGATAAATACATATCATTATTGTTCATACATTGGATTATCCAGATGCCTATCGACAACAATTAGTCCGGTTAATAGAGGTTCTACTGTATCTAAATTTCAATTTCGATTGATTAAGTGAATTCTTAAACATTTAGGGAAGTTCATGCAACTTGCCTTAAGGCTAAACGCCACTTTCAACTAGTTACCTTAGTTCCTTTGCGAACATCTTCAATCGAGAACTAGGATCTCTAGATGTAGTTATCATAATTTTGGGGTCCTCACAACCAGCATATCGATACTCATCATCTTGTGAATCTAAAGTATTAGCACCACCACTTTCACCGCCGATGGCGGCTGCCATTTGGGGCCCTAAATAAAAAAAATCATATAAATAAACTTATCATAACCTCAAAAACTACATATATAATTCATAATCTTACCTTCGTCTTCCCATTCTATTTTCTTCTGCAAATGCAGTGCTTTCTTTTTCAAATCACCATGTATTGCAACATTTTCTTCTAGGCTTCTTTTTAAACTATTTTTGTTTTGTTGTATTGTCTTGTGTTTGTCTTCGACACATTTGCGGTATAAATATTCGCGGCGCAGACGCGCTTGTCTTCGTAACATTTTGGATAATATTTGTTTACACTTGATAATAAATTAATGACAAATTATTAATTTAGTTTAATTGTAGTTTTTATTAAAAATGTGTTTTATTAGTTTTGGGTTGACAAAAATAATGCACGTGCGATTAAATTTGACAACCTCAAAGAATTTGACACAGCAAAAGCATAGATATAATAAATAGATTGGTATGTCTGATGACTTGACGGTTTAAATTTGAATTAATGGCAGCACTTGTACAATTATTTTTAATTTACCGAAAAAGAAGTTTATGTTTTTATAAAAAAAATACGATTCGCTAAGTTTATGTTTTCTTCTAGACGTTTCAAGCAATTCTGAATCGAATGAGACCAAATTTGGAAAAAAGTATGAGTGTGTGTGAACAGATTTTTTTAACCCTAAATCGACATTTTCTCAAAAACGGCTTGACCGATTTCAAAAATTTAAAAGCCATTCAATGTATCTCGATGAGGACTATTGTTTGTCAGTTTTGTGCGACGATCGGCCAAGCTGTTTTTTTGTAATTAGCAAAAAAGTGAAAAAAATTTCGTCTACGTTTTAGCCCGCAATTCTGCATCGATTTTGAAAATTCAAAAACCGTTCGAAAGATATTGGTTGGGAATCGTGCTGATTAGTTTTCGGTAAAGATCGGCCAGGCCGTTTTCTTGTAATAAGGTGTTAAAAAAAATTTTTCGACGATTTTCAAGAATATTTTTGACGGTTACCATAGTCTTATAGATCATACTAAAATATTACGGTCCTACGACAAGTGGTTTAATTTTGAAAAATCGTCAAAGTTTGCAAAAATTAGTATCGCTTTTTTGACGTTTGCCAAAATTAGAACTTTCACCGACTTTTTCTCAAAAACGGTCGAACCAATTTCAAAAATTTAAAAGCCATTTGATGTATCTTAATGAGGACTATCGTTTCTCAGTTTTGTGCTACGATCGACCAAACCGTTTCTTAGTAAATAAGAAAAAAGTTAAAAAAAAATCGTCCACGTTTTAGCCAAATATTCTGACCCGATTTCTAACATCTATTTTCAACTTCCCATGAGGTAAGTTATTGTAATCCTCCAAAAAATGAACATTTTTGTCATATCTTTACGTTTCTGAGGTTTCTGAACATTTTAGCACACCTCAGAAAAAATGGATTGTGTGTGCGGATACAAATTTTTCTGTCGACGATTTCAGGCGCACGGATCAACCTATGTAAATGATTAAAAATACATTCGATTTCTATTGATAGGGAGATGCGCTGATTAGTTTTTGGCAAAGGCAAGTTCAGCCGCTCCAGAGATGCGGAGCAAAAAGTGCAGAAAATAGAAATCGAGTTTTTGAGAGATCGGAGCATCCGATTTGAATGATTAAAAAAAATTCAATTTGTAATCACGACGAAAGTGGTGATTAATTTTTGGCAAAGGTAGGCCTAGCGGTTTCGGAGATACAGAGTTAAATGTGCAAAAAATGGCAGTTTTTGAGAGAACTTAGGGTCCGATTTAAATGATTCAAAGAACTTTCTGCTTGTTTCAACAAAATAATTGCTTTCGGAAAAAAATTGTTTCTAATTTATTTTTTCAAAAAATATTTTTGTAATTTTTGATTAAACATTCAAAAAATCACCCAGGCTAAGGACAGTCTAAGCGCCACTCTGGTACAAATGTTTAGCCAAGTGCGTTTAGACTGTTTATGCACTTTTCCAATTTTGTGAAAACTATTGAAAAACGTGAAAATGCCGCCAAGCCAAGCACAGTATAAGCGAAAATGTCGCACAGAATTATTTGCAAATGCGTTTAGACTGTGACTATACGGGAGCACTTTTTCAATTTTGTGTAAATTAGGCAACTATTTTTTTTTTAAATTGAATTCGAAATGAAATGACGATTGTTAATGTTCTGGATATAATTTGATTTATGATTTACATTTGATTTGCTCAGATATAACAATAAGATAGCAAAAATAATGAAAGTTACAGTATTTGTAATAATCTATTTGAAAACATTTAATATTCTTCGAAAATTGCATTACAGTTTGGGAAGTTGGGAGATATATATATATATATATATATATATATATATTTGAATATATGATTACATTTAATTGAATTGCGGACTATCTAAATATTAATATTAAGGATATTCTTTTATCACTTATCTCAGAGGATATTCTTTTATCATTTTGGAAGCATTTGAGCCCCTGGGAGCAAAGAAATTCGAACAAATGTCCATATTAAGGACCACCCTAAATATATATATATATATATATATATATTAGTTATTTTTATACTAAACATTATATACTAGTCATATCTTTAAAAATATATTTATTTACAAGACTTTTATATAAAATTCAAACAACAAATCATAATAAGTTATTTATCTTCTTCTCAAATCTTGCTTTAATCTTATCCATCTTGGTACGTTCTTGTTCCTCATGCCTCTTCAACCGTTTTTCCTTCCTCGTACCTTCAGAATGCACAAAGTACTTATGTCTATATTCCAAAACAGCAGTAGTCGAACTATCATCAAAATCATCATTGACTTGTGAATCTTCTGGTAATTTTTCATAAGTCAACATCCTCCTGGACGTATGATTGCTTAGAACTTGTTCGGAATTAGCAATCAGCGATAGTTGTTTATGTTTTGGTAAAAAAGACTCATCGTAGTCTTTTCTGAAGACTGGAAACCAACAAACGAGACGTCCACCTGGTGATAGATGAGTAGCTGCTAGTTGTAGGAGGTCTGAGTATAGTTGGGGGAGGTCGTAGTCGATTTTGGCAGGGAAATGGTCAAAGTCAGTTGAATCAGTTGAATCAGGGGTTCGTTTAAGAGACTGGTCGGTTCCTATCCTTTCTGTAGCCTCTCTGATACCGTAAGGTGGATCCGTTACAATTGCATCGATTTTAAAATTCGGTCTCCACAAAGGTAGCGAACTGTCAGCTACGACAACGTCCAGGTAACTGGATTCGCATTGATATTGTTTCAAATTTGCTAAAATACTTTCATCTTTGTCCCTTGTTTTTTGTTTGATACGACTAGGACGTGTCCGGCCGTGCAGCATCAAGTAATCAATATCCATACCCATAACATAACCTCCAAATTTAGCGGCTGCTACAAGTAACGAACCAGAACCGACAAAAGGATCCATTATAATTTTACCGTCTTGTGCTAAAGCTTGATTGGCTGCTAAGACAGATAATGTAGCATCCATGCTGGTGTTCCCAATAAATTTCCTGGATTTTAAAGACAACTCTTTTTTTAGTTGTCTTTGCCCACTGCATATGTATCTACCAAATAAAATTTCTAAAGGCTGTTCTGGTACATTGTTAGAGTCCAAACCATAATGCTCATAATACATATATTCTATATCAGGATTTGTTAATTTCACAGAACCCTTAACCGGTATATATTCTAAATTTTCTATCTTTTTAATCTTCTCAGCTTGTGTAAAGTGTTTATTATAAGTCTCAACAGTAATCCTAAATGTATTACTCGCACTAAAATACTTTTGGCAATCAGAATTTGTATTTACATACTTTTGCAACCTTTCGTGGAATTCTTTTATTATTTTGGACCGTGACCAGAGTTCCATGCAGAATCTTACAGAAACCGAACGCGAACAAATATCATGACAATGTTTTTCATCGTCTAATTCAATTATCCAGTAAGGTGTTTCATCGCAGATTTTTTCTATTGTTCTTGGTTTTATGTTGAATAGTTTTATTAAAGATAGTATTTCTGGTTTTCGAAATGGCACATGCTCTTGAGCGAACCAAAACACGTATTGTTTGTATGTAGACATTATCGTACGATTCATTAAATTGAATGTTAAAAGTTTAATTTGTGTCTAACCTTACTTTACCATCGGAAACTGTCACAATTGATCTGTCAGTGTCAGTGTTTAATGATTTATTTTATGAGAGATTTATGCGTGAATATTATTAATTCATTAAATTAGATATTTCTATTTATTTTTTTAATTTATGTCTAACCTTACTTTATCACTTGTCAACGTGCCTAAGAAACTGTCAAGTTTCACCTGTCACTGTCAAAGTATCAAGTGTCAATGTGTCAAGTGTCAGTGTTTAATAATTTATTTTATAAAAGATTTACGCCTGAATATAATTATTTAAGAATTATAACTGTAATTTAATAATGATTTTGTTCTAAATCAAAGTACTAATTGAATTTTTTATATATTTTACTTATTTATTACTTTATTTACTATTACCATAGATAAATAATCAAAAATAGATCGCCATATCTGGCGATTTGACGTTACTTTAATTCAAATTTGAATTTGTAACTAGTGGTGTATGGCATCGTGCCTTAAGGCAAATTGCTAGAACTTCCCAAACTGTAATGCAATTTTCGAAGAATATTAAATGTTGTCAAATATATTATTACAAATACTGTAACTTACTCCAAAGTGATAAAAGAATATCCTTAATATTAATATTTAGATAGTCTGCAATTCAATTAAATGTTTCGTATATTCATATATAATCATATATTCAAATATATATATATATATATATATATATATAAATTATAATTTACTATTACTCACCATCATCAATGCTCAAAACTTCAACAACCGTATCCCTTGTAAGATTTAAATTATTTTCCTCAAATAATTTAAACAAATGTTCAACTTTTTCAGGATCATTTTGGGGCCTCACATAAACCACATCCCCCAAATCATGTTGAAGACTTTCATTAGCAAAACTTATAAGTCTAACATCTTGGAAATGATCTTGTGAAGTCGTTCTTTTATTATCCTAATGATAAATGATAAATGAAATATGTTAGGGTGGTTTTTAATATGGACATTTTCGAATTTCTTTGCTCCCAAGGGCTCAAAAGCTTCCAAAGGGATAAAAGAAAATTCTCTGAAAGTTTTAGCTCTTAATATTAATATTTAGATAGTCCGCAATTGAATTAAAAGTTTCGTATATTTATTATTAAGTAAATACTTGCGCCATCTGTGATGGCAGACTTGTAATTTTGATCGCAATTTATTGCTGATAATTTGAGCGTCCAAAAATCACCAATTAAATGAATATTTTGATGCAAAATTAATTTTAAATAAATATTTTGTTAAACAGTCCACGCGGATTTAATTTGAGGCAAGAATTTACTTAATAATAAATATACAAAACTTTTAAACGAATTGCGGACAATCTAAATGTTAATATTAAGAGCTAAAACTTTCAGAGAATTTTCTTTTATCCCTTTGGAAGCATTTGAGCCCTTGGAAGCAAAGAAATTCAAAAATGTCCCCTAATATACATACATACATTTAAAAAAATATAAGTAAATCTTTGGAAAATCTTCTAAAGTCAACACTTTTGTCTTTTAATAAAATTAAAAGATGGTCAGTATTAAAAAAGTGTTTGAAGTTAATAATGTGCTCAGAAAACATCGTTTTAAATTGCTTTGGATTTTTAGAGTTATGAAAGCAAGAAAAACTACGTTTATTTACACAATTTGAATTTAAAAAGATGAAACAAGATTCGGAAAATCTTCTTAAGTCCACATTTTTTTTTGTATATAAAATTAAAGGATGGTCAGTATTTAAAAGAGTGTTTGAAGTTAATAATGTGCTCAGAAAACATTGTTTTAAATTGCTTTGGATTTTTAGAGTTATAAAAGTGAGAAAAACTACGTTTATTTACACAATTTGAATTTAAAAAGATGAAACAAGATTCGGAAAACCTTCTTAAGTCCACATTTTTTTCTGTATATAAAATTATAGGGTGATCAGTATTAAAAGAGTGTTTTGAAGTTAATAATGTGCTCAGAAAACATTGTTTTAAATTGTTTTGGATTTTTTGAGTTATGAAAGCAAGAAAAACTACGTTTATTTACACAATTTGAATTTAAAAAGATGAAACAAGATTCGGAAAATCTTCTAAGGTCTACATTTTTTTCTGTATATAAAATTAAAGGATGGTCAGTATTAAAAGGATGTTTTGAAGTTAATAATGTGCTCAGAAAACAGTGTTTTAAATTGCTTTGGATTTTTAGAGTTATGAAAGCAAGAAAAACTACGTTTATTTACATAATTTGAATTTAAAAAGATAAAACAAGATTCAGAAAATCTTCTAAGGTCTACATTTTATCCTTTATATAAAATTATAGTATGGTGAATATTAAAAGAGTGTTTGAAATTAATAATGTGCTCAGAAAACATTGTTTTAAATTGCTTTGGAATTTTAGAGTTATGAAAGCAAGAAAAACTACGTTTATTTACACAATTTGAATTTAAAAAGATAAAACAAGATTCGGAAAATCTTCTTAAGTCAACACTTTTGTCTTTTAATAAAACTAAAGAATGGTAAATATTAAAAGAGTGTTTTGAAGTTAATAATGTGCTCAGAAAACATTGTTTTAAATTGCTTTGAATTTTTAGAGTTATGAAAGCAAGAAAAACTACGTTTATTTACACAATTTGAATTTAAAAAGATGAAACAAGATTCGGAAAATCTTCTAAGGTCTACATTTTATCCTTTATATAAAATTATAGTATGGTCAGTATTAAAAAAGTGTTTGAAGTTAATAATGTGCTCAGAAAACATCGTTTTAAATTGCTTTGGATTTTTAGAGTTATGAAAGCAAGAAAAACTACGTTTATTTACACAATTTGAATTTAAAAAGATGAAACAAGATTCGGAAAATCTTCTTAAGTCCACATTTTTTTTGTATATAAAATTAAAGGATGGTCAGTATTTAAAAGAGTGTTTGAAGTTAATAATGTGCTCAGAAAACATTGTTTTAAATTGCTTTGGATTTTTAGAGTTATAAAAGTGAGAAAAACTACGTTTATTTACACAATTTGAATTTAAAAAGATAAAACAAGATTCGGAAAACCTTCTTAAGTCCACATTTTTTTCTGTATATAAAATTATAGGGTGATCAGTATTAAAAGAGTGTTTTGAAGTTAATAATGTGCTCAGAAAACATTGTTTTAAATTGTTTTGGATTTTTTGAGTTATGAAAGCAAGAAAAACTACGTTTATTTACACAATTTGAATTTAAAAAGATGAAACAAGATTCGGAAAATCTTCTAAGGTCTACATTTTATCCTTTATATAAAATTATAGTATGGTCAGTATCTAAAAGAGTGTTTTGAAGTTAATAATGTGCTCAGAAAACATTGTTTTAAATTGTTTTGGATTTTTAGAGTTATGAAAGCAAGAAAAACTACGTTTATTTACACAATTTGAATTTAAAAAGATGAAACAAGATTCGGAAAATCTTCTTAAGTCCACATTTTTTTCTGTATATAAAATTAAAGGATGGTCAGTATTAAAAAAGTGTTTGAAGTTAATAGTGTGCTCAGAAAACATTGTTTTAAATTGTTTTGAGTTATAAAGCTAAAACTTTCAGAGAATTTTCTTTTATCCCTTTGGAAGCATTTGAGCCCTTGGGAGCAAAGAAATTCGAAAATGTCCATATTAAGGACCACCCTAAGTTATAAATAAATCTTATTACTTCTTACCTGGACAGAGGATTTAACAAATTGGTCATGCTTATTATCAACGTTTTTGTAAAATATATCTTCAGTTATCTTGAATGTATCTAAAGTATCTTTTATCTTAATCTTCCATCGAAAAGGTCTAGGTGTTACAGATAAGGGCTCCATAGGTGACGGATAGATTTTTTCAAGTTTGGCCCATAATTGTGTTATCCAAGGCCCTACAATTGCACTTGGGCCTAAATCGTGTTGATCGTCGGCTAAACCTATAAAAAAAACATATAAACAAACAAAATCTTATATATAAAATTCTTCTTTAATGATGTATGTAAATATACTCCTCTTAAACGATTATTCGGATTTTGATAAATCTTTCTGAAGTTTGTTAAGGAAATTTTTTAGTATTTTTTGATTCAGAGAAATATAGTTAGACTGTAGAAATAAATGGAAAACATTACAAAAAAAAACGACATGTTTAGGAGGAAAATATTTGAGACATTGAAAAAAACTCAAAAGTATTAATATATATAACTTTAAAACAGTCATCTGCCTAAAATTTCAATTTACTTATGAGCCTAGACAATATAAGAATATGTATAATAAATTCGTGATTATAAATAAGAAAAATGAAATGTCTGCATTATTATTGCCAAAAAGCAGCTGAGATGTGCCAGAAATTAAAATATTTGAATAATTAGCATATGTATAGAGGATGTATGTAAATATACTCCTCCTAAACGATTATTCGGATTTTGATAAATCTTTCTGAAGTTTGTTAAGGGAATTTTTTAAGAATTTTTTGATTCATAGAAATATAATTAGATTGTAGAAATTAATGGAAAAAATTGCAAAAAAACGACATGTTTTGGAGGAAAATATTTGAGATATTGAAGAAAACCTATGAAAACAGTCATCTGCCTAAAATTTCAATTTACTTATGAGCCTAGACAATCTTAGAATATGTATAATAAATTCGTGATTATAAATAAGAAAAATTAAATGTCTGCATTATTATTGCCAAAACGCAGCTGAGATGTGCCAGGAATTAAAATTACTAGAATAATTAGAATATGTATAGAAGATATGTATGTAAATAATAAATATAATCCTCTTAAACGATTATTCGGATTTCGATAAATCTTTCTGAAGTTTGTTAAGGGAATTTTTTAAGAATTTTTTGATTCATAGAAACCTAGTCAGATTGTGGAAATTAATGGAAAAAATTGCAAAAAACGACATGTTTAGGAGGAAAATATTTGAGACATTGCAGAAAACTTATGTAAACAGTCATCTGACTAAAATTTCAATTCACTTATGAGCCTCGACAATCTTAGAATATGTATAATAAATTCGTGATTATAAATAAGAAAAATGAAATGTCCGCATTATTATTGCCGAAAAGCAGCTGAGATGTGCCAGAAATTAAAATTATTAGAATACTTAGAATATGTTTAGAGGATGTATGTAAATATACTCTTCCTAAACGATTATTCGGATTTTGATAAATCTTTCTGAAGTTTGTTAAGGGAATTTTTTAGGATGTATGTGATTATAGAAATATAGTTAGATTGTAGAAATAAATGAAAAAAATTACAAAAAACATGTCATTGTTTGACATTGCAAATATTTGACACATTGACATTGAAAACAAATGACAACTGTCATTTTCCAAATATTTTGATTAACTTATGAGCCTAGACAATTTCAGAATATGTATAATAATTAGAATATGTATAGAGGATGTATATAAATATACTGCTTTTAAACGATTATTCGGATTTTGATAAATTTTTCTGAAGTTTGTTAAGAGAATATTTTAGCATGTATGTGATTATAAAAATATAGTAATATTGTAGAAATAAATGAAAAAAATTACAAAAAACATGCCATTGTTTGACATTCCAATAATGACAAAAATTCCAATTCACTTATGAGTCTAGACAATATTAGAATATGTATAATAATTAGAGTATGTATGTAAATATACTCCTCTTAAACGATTATTCGGATTTTGATAAATATTTCTGAAGTTTGTTAAGGGATTTTTTTAGTATTTTTTGATTCATAGAAATATAGTTAGATTGTAGAAATAAATGGAAAAAATTACAAAAAACCGCTTATCATTGAATGGCATTGAAAATACTTGAGGCATAGTTTGACATTAAAAACAAATGAAGACTGTCATTTGCCAAACATTTCTATTCACTTATAGGCTAAGACAATATTAAAATATAATATATTCTTGGTTATGAATAAGAAAAATGTAATGTCTATATTATTATTGCCGAAAAGCAGCTATATTGTATAATATAGCAATATTGTAAAACCCTTGGCATTAAAATAAATTGAGCTATTGGAAATAAATTGAGCTCTTGGAAATGAATTTGTTCTATAAATTGCAGTGTATAATTTTTGACATACAATTTTATTGAACATATTTTAATATTTGTTAAAGGGATAATTAAAGTGTTAACTGTGGGAATTGAGAATCATTATTTTATTTGAAGCAGTTCTACATTTAACATCACTCATATGTTGGTGTAAATAAAAATTCGAAAAACAATAATTCTTATTTTTAACTGAACAGTAAATATTAGTATAGGATATTAAAAAAACGTAGATGTGGGTACAGGACAACGTCTGTCGGGTCATCTAGTATATATATATATAATTCTTCTGTAATGATCGGATTATAAATATAAATATAAATATAAATATAAATATAAACATAAATATAAATATAAATATAAATATAAATATAAATATAAATATAAATATAAATATAAATATACTCCTCCTAAACAATTATTCGTATTTTGATAAATCTTTCTGAAGTTTGTTAAGGAAATTTTTTAGAATGTATGTAATTATGAAAATATAGTAATATTGTAGAAATAAATAGAAAAAATTAAACAATTGTAGATGTGGGTACAGGACAATGTTTGTCAGTGTAATATATAATAAATTTTTAATTATCCATTATCAGCTTACCTATAGGTATCAAGCATTCCCCTCCCAATTGTGCAAGTCTCCGATTCAATTTCTTAGCAACAAAATTGAATTTAACATAACTAGAGTCTCCCAAACCCAAAACTGCATACTTGATATTGCTCAAAGAATTTGCAGGCAGACTTTTCTTCAACAGGAATTTCCAGAAAGTCTTCATATTATCCGGTTCATCTCCTTGTCCAGTTGTAGAACAAACAAATATTACAATATCTTCGTTAATTAAGTTTTGTATGGGATAATCTTCCATCGAAGACACTGAGCCTTTGAAATAAAATCTTTTGGAGTCTCGCCATATATCTTCGGCGACATCTTGAGCTGTTCCTGTTTGGCTGCCGAATAAAACTGTTAAATTTCTTTTCATTGTAATAAAAAATTATGTAAATTAAATATTATACTAAAAATGATGTAAAAATGTAATTTATTGTGCTGCGTTTGAGGTTACATGGTTTTTTGAGGTTATGTTTGGTTAATGATTTGACAAATGTCAAAATCAGATGGTCCAAGTGTTGCCATATGAAACTGTTAAAATGTCTATTTATTTGCTGTGCAATCAGGCGTATTTTACATATAAACATGCAAAGAAGAATGTTATGATAACAAAAATTTAGATGATGCAGTTATTATAACATTAAATAAATAAACGATTAAACAAATAAATAAACATTTTCACATATTCACTAACAAAAAACAAGCATAAGATAGCATGTTATTTTATGAGGCAGAATTGCCTGGTAAATACTCTTGTAAAAATTATAAATCTTAGTACAGAACCCCAAAAAAATATAAACCACAATTTATACTTATTATTAAATTCTCTATAAAATATCTGATAATTTGATATGCATATGTCTAATGATCATTTTTAAGCATATTTTTTACCTTTTTCATAAGATCTCCGAAATCGCCGGACCTGCCTTCCCAAAAATTCCATCAAATCTTCATTTCATCAATACAAATAAAATGTTTTTGGAACCATTCAAATCGGACGCTCCGTTCCCTCAAAAACTCAATTACCACTTTTGGCACTTTTTGCCCAGTATCTCCAAAACGGCTGGTCCTGCCTTTGCCAAAAACTAAACAGCACATCTCTGCATTAATAAGACTTGAATGTTTTTTGAATCATTCAAATCGGTTGATCCGTGTTCTGGAAATAGTCGATCGAAGTTTGTTGTGTAAATCCTGTAAGAATCTAATCTAATTATCATTTTCAAGCATATTTTTTACCTTTTTCATAAGATCTCCAAAACCGCTAGACCTGCCTTCCCAAAAATTTCATCAAATCTTCATTTCGTCAATACAAATAAAATGTTTTTGGAATCATTCAAATCGGACGCTCCGTTCTCTCAAAAACTGAATTACAGTTTTCTGCACTTTTTGTCCCGTATCTCCAAAACGGCTGGACCTGCCTTTGCCAAAAACTAATCAGCACATCTCTGTATCAATAGGAATTGAATGTTTTTTGAATCATTCAAATCGGTTGATCCGTGCTCTCGAAATCGTCGTTGAAAGTAAATAAATAACAAAAATTAATATAACAATAAGATTTCAAATGCCCCAAAAACTGACATCAAGTACATTAAGTCTTTTAATGTTTTTTTATTTCATATAAACTTACAATACTGTTTGATGTGTATCAAATTGTCGACATTCAACTCTCACATAATGAAATATTCATATAAATGATCTTAATCATAATAATTATCCTAAAGTTGCACTTAAAAATTATGATAATATTTGTGAAGAACAAAAAAATATACAACAGAAATAATAAAAATAAATAATTCATTACAAAAAATATATAGTACAGTACAAGGCATAAAATTAAAAAAATATTTCTATTCATATAAAATAAACTTAACAACTGTGGAATTCGCTATTCTATGAATGCGTCGATGATACTTTGTGGAAAGTCAAGATTCCAGTCTTGACTCTTTTTCAAAATGAATTTGAGAAGTCTGGTTCCTGCTCTGGAAAATAGAAAGAAGAAAATTATAATTGTGAAAATATATTCATATTTTTTGCTTTTTTTTTCCACTTACTTGAAAACATCACTTTCTCCGTTATTATACGTATCGCAATTCTCAAACACCAAAGACATGTCCTCAACCACCTCCTTCACATCTTTATAATCTCCGGCTTTCAATCTGTCCCTGATGGTGCCAAAGTCCATCGGTTTTGAAATAATTTCAAAATAATCTGGAACCTCCTCTAAAGTAACAGGTGCCATAAAGGGCCAGGAATCCCTATGTTTCGCAATATCCGTTAACAAACCCTCAATTTGTTTGTACTGAGGGAAAGGGTAGTTGGCCGATGCATTTAAACTATCGTTGACTATGGATTCCTTTTTTTTACTTTTTCTTACTGGTGTGATGGCGAATGATTGCTCATTGTCGGATGATAGGGATGAATCGCTTTCTGGGGGAAAAATTTTTGAGGTAATGGATAATTGTTTACATCAAAATTTTTGTAAGGGTAAATGAATATGAATATGATTTTGTCCTGTCTTAAAATTGGCGTATTGATTAATTTTCAAGGATGAGTGATGATTAAAAAGTGCAAATTAATTAGAAGCAAAGCAACAGTGGAAGTCCTTTAGTCCGACTTATTTTATTATTTTTATATTTTCGATTTTTTGCGATAAATAACAAAAATGTATTTAACAATAAGATTTCAAATGTCCGAACAACATACATCAATTACATTAAGTTTTTTAATCAGTTTATGTCAGTAAGGGTGAAATTTCTTTATGTTTGAGACTTGTATTGAATTTTAAGATTTGTATTAAATTATCGACCCCTTTGTCGAATTAATTTTTACAAAAAACAGAAATTTGACTATTTCTAGTTTCTGATTGAAAGTAAGTGTAAGGTGTTTTCGTTTCTCTCCTTTTGAATACCAAGGGTTAAATTTTGAAAACATGATTACCGGCACAGTTAGGTGATTAAATCTACTGATACATGTGTACTGCTAGCTTAAAATCGAACGAATCCTCAACAGTAGAGTCCCATTTTTTTTTTCAAATTCATAACAAAGCCGTCGGAAATAGTTTGCTCGTCAGTAGAGTCCTTTTTTCCTTCAAATTTATAAGATTAATTAAAAAAAAAACAGTTTGAAATTAAATTTATAAAAAAAACGGGTAATCAGTTTGCTCGTCAGTAGAGTCCCATTTTTTCTTTCAAATTCATAAAAATAACTTCGGAAATCAGTTTGCTTGTCAGTAGAGTCCCTTTTTTTCTTTTAAATTTATGAGAATGACGTCAAAAATCAGTTTGCTGGTCTGTAGAGTCCCCTTTAATTTTCAAATTTATAAAAATACTGTCGAAAATCAGTTTGCTCGTCAGTAGAGTCCCTTTTTCCTTTTAAATTTATAACAATCGCTTTGGAAATGGGTTTGCTCGTCAGTAGAGTCCCCTTTTCCTTTTAAATTTATAACAATCGCTTTGGAAATGGGTTTGCTCGTCAGTAAAGTCTCTTTTTCTTTCAAATTTATAAAAATAACTTAAAAAATCAGCTTGAAATCAAATTTATAACAATCCCGTCGGAAATGGGTTTGCTCGTAAGTAGAGTCCCATTTTTCTTTCATATTTATATTTATAGGAGGAGAAAAAAAAAGCTAATTTGTTTCGTAAGGGACTACGTATTTCGTAGAACGTACTTCGTTCATGAACCAAGATTACCGAATAATAGCAAGTCCAATAGAAAACGTATTAATAGCTCCTGGGCGTTTTTTACTTGAAAAAAAAAAAAACGAAATTTTTGTAAAAAAAAAGCCGGACTATCGGGCGCATTCCGGACAGTAGGATGCCGAACTAAAGAACTTCTACCATATACATACATATATATATATATATATATATATATATATATATATAATAATCAACTGCAAAGCTCATGCTAAAATAAAAAATGCTTGTGGAAAAAATAAATTTCGCAGGTTTAAAATTGACTTTTGGGCTACGGTTTCTTCGGCAAAGTTTCTTGAAAAAATTTTATTGAGGCTATATGAGTTTTGAAATAATTTCACACCTTTTACACCACCTCTGAATTAGCAAAAATAATTCAAGACTAAAAGCGGCCAAATCGGTAAGATATTTAAAAAAAACTTTTTTTATATAAACGATTGTTTTGAAATACGAAACGACTTAAACTCGTATGTCGGAGTACCAACACTGTACCTCAATAAAATAGCCTCAATAAAATCAATGCAACTTATATAAAAAATTATAAAATAAAATATTTTTTCATACATCACCATATCAACATTTTCATTTTCATGATGGATGGGACGTGCATGCAAATTGTTGTTCCTTTCTTCAAAAAAATTAATAATTGCAGAAGTCTTAATCCGTTATAAACTATTTTAGTTTTAACAAAAATAAAATATGCTGAACGTACACAAAATAAATTTATTGCACATTCCGTATAAAAAGATAAAACATGTTTTACAAACGTTAAAATTTGTTTATACAAAAATATCATAATTTGAATAAAAATCTCGACATAAAAATAGATAAAATGATTCTGATTAAAAGTTACATTCTATATTTCGATCTTGTCCTGTATTGACGTCTTGTACGAGGACGTTCTTGATATTCTGAAAGTGCAACTTTTATAATACTTATTTGAAGTAAATATTAGGCTGGCAACTAAATAAATGCGGATTGTAACAAACTAACAAAAAAAAAAAGTTCTATTATATGACGCAACATGAAAAATCTAGATATGTTATGCTACTATAAAGCAACCACCATGCGATTTAGTAATGCTACAAGCGTTTTGGATTACTACTAAAAAATAATTTAAAATGAGGGATGATAAAGCATATTTTGCGTTAAAAAATGTATTCAGACCGCTGCTATGTTGGTCCTCATCATTTATCATATGCGCATAGTTCAAAATCCTTTTGCGACAGGCATTAGCAGAACGCCTTGATGATTGCTGATGGTACTCATCATCTTCTGCACAATAATTTAAAAATTAAATATGACTAACAACAAACTTTGTAAATCTCTTTGTAAAATATTTACAAACTTAAATTTCAATCTCTTTGTAAAATATTTACAAACTTAAATTTCAATCTCTTTGTAACTCGATTTTTAACACTATTCCTACCGGAACCGGTCAAATGACCGTTTTTGATTTTTCGATTAGTATTTTTCATATCAAACGTAATTGAATCGTCATCAAACTTCGTGACTTTTCCTAATATGTGAGTATGATACATTTTTCAATGTAAATTTGTTTTTTCAAATTTGATTTTCGGAAAAAAATTGTATACTGTCTTACCTACCGCGACCGGTAGTACGAAAGACGATGTTCCGACGGCATTTTTTGTAGTAGTTGTTAAGAATATGATCGAACTTACAAGAAAATATAAATTCAGAAGAATTTAGAGTGGTAAAAATGGCCTTCTGCAAATTTATATGCATTTTTTTCAATTCTGTATGCACGCTGTGCATATGAGGCAAGCACTTCTACTGTATACAAAGTTAGTTTTCTCATTTTTGCTCAATGTCTATGTGTAGACAGATTTTTACTTATTTAAATTGATAGGTTTTGTTTTGAATCCAAAGGTTGGTTCAACTACATTGACAGCAAGCAAAATTGTTGTAAAAGACCACGTTTTACTATCGACAAACATATATTTTCAATAAAGGTAAGGTGTAAATTTATTCCACACATGTTCAATAATCTTCAGGAAAACGTAGTATAAAATTCTAGTAACTGTTCAATATACGATGTAAATATAATTATGTCCAGCAAATCGCACAAATGAGGTGTAAAATTTTGATAACCATCCAGTATACGTAGAAAACTGAGAATTTCTTTGAAGATTTATAACCAACCGTATAAAAAATTTAAGCGTTTTTACCATCCTACTTGTAGCTAAATTTTTAGTGAAAAAAGAAACTGTGATGGTAGGTACTAGGGAATGCAATACCGGTTTACCGGTATACCGAATTACCGCCCGATTTTTCGGCGGTATTTTTACCGGTATTTACCCCAAAAATACCGGTATTTTCGATATTTTTACATAAGCGCTGTTTGATACATAATACTCTAAAGTTTAAATTTCTCGGAACAAATTTATCTTTAAATACCATAATCTCATAAACAGCTATATCTTCAAGTGATTCTATAAGATAAACAAATGTCTCAATATTATCTCAACTCGTCATTAAACTGAATATTTAATGCTTTACTAAAGGCATCATATCGTGTTACAATAAATAGAATTAGACTGATAGATAATTATGTTTGTTTACATCTTATATAAAACGGTTTTTTAAGTGATATTTGCGCCAAAATATTTTATATCATACAGGACATACCCCTGCATAATCTTTATTTTTTTCTAACTTTATACATAATAATTATGATAATTACTAAATATTTTTGCTTCTTATTACAATTATAAAATATTATTTTTCGAAAACGTTTCGAAGTTTGAAAATACTATAGAAGCAGCACATTGTTTTAAATAACAATTCTCAACAATTTAAGTAACTTATTATTTATCTCGACAAAATATCCGATCTTTAATTAGTGTAGAAAAATATTTTTTTTGTTTTTATTGTTTAGTTGATATAGTTGTAGTTGTATACACATTTTTTTATATTTGTACTAGTAACTTTCAATTTTGTTTACGTTTGTTTAAAATAATAAAAATACCGGTAATTTACCGGTTTTAAAATGAAAAATTACCGAAATACCGGTATTGAATGTTTTCATCGGTATTGCATTCCCTAGTGTAGATGTCATTCATAAAGTAGTCAGAAATCATTCGGAAAAATATGAATTTTAGAGAGAATTTATCAAGGATTTACATTATTTAGTATTTATTCAGGGTAAATCCATTGTTTTCACATAAAGAAATTACAGGAAGATGATGTACAAGGCAGGAACTTTCTATTCCAATTAACTTGCCGTATAGTTCCAACAAGAATTCAGAAAAAAATCAACTAAGTACAAGTACAAAACAGATTCCCTAAAAGAAAATATTCCAGATAATGTTTCAGAAAGATGATAGGGCAAACAAAATCAGTAACTAGCTGTAAGTGGAATTCTGTCTTGAGTCAATTATGGCATCGCGCCTTGAGGCAAATTGCTGGAACTTCCCGTACCGTAACGAAATGTTCGAGGAATACTGAATGTTTTCAAATAGATTATTATAAATATTGTAACATTGTCTAATATTTATAAGAATTATATAAACTGAATTGCAAAGTTGAAATTATTTGTAAAGTATATTAGAACTATAGTCAGAATTAAAAATAAAATCTGAATTATTTTCGATATACAAAAAATTAAAAAAAAAAAAAAAATGATACAAAATTTTTTTTCCATAATCAATTATTTTGTTAAGACAAGCAAAAAGTTCTTTGAATCATTTAAATCGGACGCTTAGTTCTCTCAAAAACTGCAATTTTTTACATATTTAGCTTCGTATCTTCGAAATGGCTGGGCCTGCTTTTAACAAAAACTAATAAACACTTCTCCCAATCATTACTAATTGAATGTTTTTTAGATCATTCAAATCGGATACTCCGTTCTCTCAAAAAGTCGATTTCTATTTTTTGCACTCTTTGCTCCGCATCTCCGAAAGGGGTGGACCTGCCTTTGCCAAAAACTAATCAGCTCTTTTCCCTATCAATAGGAATCGAATGTTTTTTGAACCATTCAAATCGGTTGATCCGTGCGCCCGAAAACGTGACTGGAAATTTGTATCCATACATACATACACACACACACATCCATTTTTTCTGAAGTATGCCAAAATGTTCAGAAACCTTCAAAACGTCGAGAAATGTAAAAATTTTCAATTCCAATTTTCGGCCCATTACAATAACGTACCCTTCGGGAAGTTAAAAAATGCGTGCGCAGAAAATACACTCTAAGAAAAAAATCGTAAAAAATCGGATAAAACAGAATAAAATGTAGATTTTACATTCTAAAATAAAAGAAATATTTTGTATTTGTATTTCTAAACTCTTAAACTAGCATTAACACTTCATTCAAAAATGAAAAATATAGATTTTACATGACCGGTCGCGGTAGGAATAGTAAACATGAAATGTCGGTAGGAATAGTGTTAAATCTCTTTGTAAAATATTTACAAACTTTAATTTCAATCTCTTTGTAACTCCACTTTTAAATTATGTAACTTCCAAACCGTATTGTTGTATCAATCTACTTTTACTATGACTTACGGTTAGCCGTTGTGTCCAGTGATCTCTTTGTGCCATTGCTTGTCTTTGACGAGCACTGCGAACATGCCCATTTGCCCCTGGGGGTCCTCCTCATGGCCGGTTTGATACATTCGATGTGCCAGCTCGTCGAACAGACACAGCAGGAAATCAGCTCGCCACCAGATCGACAGGCATCACATAAAGGCACTAGACTTGAAGCCGTTGATAGGGATGATGTTCTAGGAAATTTAAATAATCATCAGTAATAAATATGACATACAAGATATATTGATTTGTTTTCTCTGTAAATAACGGGAGCGTCCGTTATTTACGTGATCGATTTTTTAGGGATTTGTTTAGAGATTGTTTTCAACAGATTAATAAATATTAAATCAAAGTACTTTGCATTATCCATTACCTTTTATTATTTTTCAATTTAGTTTGCCTATCATTATGAACACCGTTGGGTAATTCTTTTTCGCTATCAGATTCCGAGTCGACTCCATTTGTTTCGTGCGCCGCATTCCGTCGTTTCTTTTTAGACGGTTCATCTTCTTCTTGATTCTTTTTAATAGCAGCCCTGTAATATATATAAAAACATAGTTTATTATGTAATACAATATAATACTAGTGGTGTGTGGCATCGTGCCTTAAGGCAAATTGCTGGAACTTCCGGTACCGTAATGAAATATTCGAGAAATTTTAAACGTTTTCAAATACTTTATTACAAATACTGGAACTTTCATTATTTTTGCTATCTCGTTATATCTGAGCAAATAAAATGAAACATTAACAATCGTCATTTCATTTCGAATTAAATTTCAAAAAAAAAAAAGTTGCCTAATTTACACAAAATTGAAAAAGTGCTCCCGCATAGTCACAGTCTAAACGCATTTGCGAATAATTCTGTGCGACATTTTCACTTACAATGTGCTTCGCTTGGCGGCATTTTCACATTTCTCAATAGTTTTTTCTCACAAAATTGGAAAAGTGCTCCAATACATAAACAGTCTAAACGCACTTGGCTAAACATTTGTACCAGAGTGGCGCTTAGACTGTGCTTAGCCTGGGTCATTTTTCGAATTTTTTAATCCAAAATTACAAAAATATTTTTTGAAAAAAAAAATTAGAAACAAATTTTTTTTCCCTCAAAAGCAATTGTTTTGTCTATACAAGCAGAAAGTTTTTTAGATCATTCAAACCGGACGCTTAGTTCACTCGAAAACTGCCATTTTTTGCACATTTAGCTCTGTATCTTCGAAATGGCGGGACCTGTCTTTGCCAAAACTAATCATCTCTTCTCCCAATCATTACAAATTGAATGTTTTTTAGATTATTCAAATCGGATACTCCGTTTTCTTAAAAACTCGATTTGTATTTTCTCCACTCTTTGCTCCGTATCTCCGTAACGGCTGGACCTGCCTTTGCCAAAAACTAATCAGCACATCTCCCTATCAATAGGAATCGAATGGTAAATGAATCATTTAAATCGATTGATCCGTGCGCACGAAATCGTCGACAGAAAAATTTGTATCCCCCCCCACACACACATCCATTTAGTTTCTGAGGTATGCACCTTAAAAATGTTCAGAAACCTTCAAAACGTCGAGAAATGCAACAATTTTCATTTTCGATTTTCGGCCCATTACTATAAATACCCTACGGGAAGTTAATAATATAGAAAATAATATCTAGAAAAATTATCCTTGACTGTCTTAAGTAGTGATTTATAGTTTATTAAATGTTCAATTTTATTAGTTTTTATTTATAGTTATATATTTGTAGGTTATATTAAGTGTTATGTATATATATAAAGTTATCTATGAACTCCTAATACTCAAATTTTCTCACGTATTATCTTTAGTTTATAATTTGTACAGTTTAAAATGTAATTATATTGTATTATTGCCTTGAGCGTTGAATAAATGAATAAATAAATAAATAAATAAATAAATATTTTCAATCTCACCTCTTGGACCGATTACTATTTTTGTCTTTATCTGCAACAGGTACAGAGCAATCATTACAGAACCAATCACCATCCGGAATTTCCTATTGAAAGATAGAATTAGGTTCAATAAAAATTATGAAGGCAATAATGGCTCATAACATAGCGTTGTCATGACAACGTTAGTGAAAACTGTTCAGAAACCTTTGAAACGTAAAAATATACAAAAATTTTGTACTATAACTTACTGTACGGAAAGTTAAATTATTTTTTATCATTCACAATTATGATTTTTATCTACTCACCTTCAAAGCCGGATTAGTACAATCCATATGAACCATAGCATTGCATTTATCACAAATTAATAATGTAGACGGCTTCGTTTTCCTATTGCAAACCTTACACCGAGAATTAGTTATAGCATTATTCCAAATGACACATTGTTCCAAGGCATGGTAATGAGAAAGTATCTAGAAAATATAACAAAAAATTGTATAAATATAAATATCAATTGATAATTCGAATTAGGTATAAAAAAATCTATAAACCTGTCCGTAACTCGTGCAGTTCATCAAAGACACTTCCCAAATTCTGAACATCCTCCTGCTTTTGTGTTCGTTAATGTTGAAATTGCCTCGTTTGTCCACTTTTTTCGCTACTGGCCCTAAAACCAAAACGATGTAAGTAAATTAAAGTTTGAGTACAGCAATACCCCGCTTAACGCTGTTTCGTTTAGCGCTCTTATATTTCGACCCAGATTTGCTGTGCCCATTTTTCAACTACAAAAAAAGAAAGCTTGAATACAGTAGTACTAGTACCTCGCTTAACCCTGTTTCGTTTAGTGCCGTTTCGTTTAGCGCTCTTTTATATCAATGAAGGGGTAAATGTGGAAGATGTCAAAGAAATAATTCAAGAAACAGCGCTGTCTTTCTAATGATGAGCTCAAGAAATTAACTGAACAAGAAGAAAACAAAAATGTTTTCAGATTCAAAGGAAGAGCAAAAACAACTTTCGATGGCGTTTGTAAAAAGTTTTAAGAAAATGATCCGAATTTTGACAGAAGCTCAAAAGTAAGGCTTGGGATTAGAGATGTTTATCTCTATCTATTTATAAAGAACTTTTATGAAAACGACCCAGAAGAAAATTGTTATTATTTGTTTTTTTCAAAAATATTCGTTCTGCTCTTTATATTTTGTTTTTATTTTTGCATGAATAATACTGTGGTATTAAGTTGGGCTTTAAGAAATAAATGTTTGATTTTATTTCTCATTATTATCTTCCCCTAACCCCAATTTTCCATTTTTTTATATTTCCATATAAAAATAGCCTCGTTTAGCGCTGTTTCGAACGTATCCCCCGCGTTAAACAGGGTATATAAAATTCTCGTGTCATGATGATAGTAGCAATACTCTTCCAAAACGGTTTGACCTATTTTTATGATATATGATAACAGGTGACATGTGGTCTTGGCCACCCTTAGGATTTTTTTTTTATTATTTGGACAAATTTCTTTTATTACAGTCCAGAATTTTCACATTTCTTATTAGTCATTTTAGTAATTCGATAATTTTTTATTCCATTAAATATTTAAATATAATTTAAGTTCAGATTTTTAAGCTTGAAGAAAAAGCTTAAATATTACTTTAAAATACAATTTATTATTATTAAGGGTTGTCCAACCCCAATACTGGGGTCAATTTTCTTTATTTTAACCTTTTTAATGTGGAATTGGAAAATATATACAACTCTTTTTTCTTCAAAATACTATTTATTACGCCCCCTTCAGTTGGCTCTTGCAAAAATTATTAATATCACCCAGAAACATTTAAAAGAGACGTGCTTTGTAGTGCATAAACTATTTATATATTTTTTGTTAGCTACCCTTTCACTTATATATCACACTAGCTATAAGTTATTTTTATAATAAATATTTTATTATAGGGGGCATCCATTAACCACTTGAGGCTTTAGGAAATGGGGTTTTGACAAAACAAATCACGTAGGGCAGGAAAGAATCTAGTAAGTAGATATCACGTGTATTTATTTTATACCTAAATCTTCAAAAAAAAAAAATACGTTTTTTTTCGTAAATTCGAAAAACTCGTTCGGAAAATTTTTACGTAACTAAAAAATACACGTGCTCTTTGGTGGAAGAGGGTTAATTCTAATATTATGACGACGTATCACTAAGTAGGGGTCAGTTCAAAAATTTCAAACAAAATCAATCACGTGATTGAAGGACGCCCGTCTTGAAATATTTATTGATGGCAAAACAATTTTTGGCGGACCAGCTAGTATATATATATATATATATATATATATACGGGGCGTCCATTAATCACGTGATCGATTTTTTAAAAAAAATTTGGACCCACCCTTGATGATATTCAATATTACCCCCCACATCATTGTGAGAAGAAATGAATAGTTTTTGATTTTTGAAAATGTTCTTGTTTTATTGAAAATCCAGGTAAAAAATAAATACACGTGATATTATACCTTTCACCCTCTCTTATGTGGTATTTTGTAATTTTTTGTCAAAACACCGTCCCCTCCAAAACCTCAGATGATTAATGGACGCCGCCAAAACAATTTTTGGCGGGTCAGCTAGTATATATATTTGATATGTAATTAAATTACATGTCAAAACAGATAAATAAGGACATAAAAATAATTGCTAGACTTACCCAATGGTCTATGCAAATTTGTTTTGTGAATAGACTGTGCAACCTGTAACAATGCACTTGCTAAATTATTTAAGTCTTGCTTCATCGAAGAAGATTCATGCAAGACAAAAGTTTCTTCATCGCTATCCTCGCTTTCAATTTCCATCGTAGCACCCAAAGTACTGCCGGGATCGTAAAATCCTAAAAAGTATAATAATAAATAATAAAACTAGTGGTGTATGGCATCGTGCCTTAAGGCAAATTGCTGGAACTTCCCGTACCGTAATGAAATATTCGAGAAATTTTAAACGTTTTCAAATACATTATTACACAAATACTGTAACTTTCATTATTTTTTTGCTATCTTGTTATATCTCAGGCAAATCAAATGTAAATCATAAATCAATTTATCTCCAGAACATTAACGATCGTCATTTCATTTCTAATTCAATTTTAAAAAAAAATAGTTGCCTAATTTGCACAAAATTGAAAAAGTGCTCCCGTATAGTCACAATCTAAACGCGTTTGCAAATAATTCTGTGCGATATTTTCACTTATACTGTGCTTAGCTTGGCGACATTTATAAGAACTAAAATGATTGTTGTTAAATTGAGGAGGCTACATTTTGATATATCTCGTTTTATATTTTTGGACCGGTTCGATTTTTATTTGTTTATAACTTCTAAACAAATTGTCCGATTGTTTTGCAATATCCAGCAAATTTTTAGCCAATTAAATTATCTACAACTTTTGTTAATAACAAAATGTTGTATCTCATATCCTTTTACCCAAAATTTGCAATGAAACAGGTTGTTGTTAAATTTTGGAGGTTAGGTTGCATCAGTATATCTTGCTTCACACTTTTGGACCAGTTCGATTTTTATTTATTTATTTATAACTTCAAAACGAAATGTCCCACCATTTTGCAATATTCAGCAAGTTTATAGCGAATTAAATTATCTACAATTTTTATTAACAACAAAAATTGGTATCTCTTGTCCTTTTATCAGAATTTTACATTTAAAAAGGTAGTTGCTTAAATTTGGTGGTCACATCGTACTCATATATCTTACTCTGTCACTCTACACTGTCAGGTATATGTTGCTCTCTTTCGCACTAGTGTTTTATATATATATATATATATATATATATATATATATATATATCTCATTTTCTCACTATATACTGTTGTCTCTTTTACGTTTAATCAAATCAGACTCTATATCCCATCGCGACTTAAGAAGTTTTACTTCAACAATAAAATTCTATTTTACTAATTTATACATCGCCAACCTAAGAAGTTGAATTCAAATGTAAATCATAAATCAATCAATTTATCTCTAGAACATTAACAATCGTCATTTCATTTCGAATTCAATTTAAAAAAAATAGTTAGTTGCCTATTACACAAAATTGAAAAAGTGCTCCCGCATAGTCACAGTCTGAACGCATTTGCAAATAATTCTGTGCGACATTTTCACTTATACTGTGCTTAGCTTGGCGGCATTTTCACTTTTTTCAATAGTTTTTACAAAATTGGAAAATTGCTCCAGTACATAAACAGTCTAAACGCACTCGGGTAAACATTTGTACCAGAGTGGCGCTTAGACCGTGCTTAGCCTGGGTAATTTTTAGAATTTTTGTATTTAGTATTTTTCATCATAAACTGTATTTTATCAGACATGAAAATAAAAAGGACTCTACTGACAAGCAAACTATATTTTGCATTATATGAACTGACGAGCAAACTGAAATACTCGTCTGCTCGTCAGTAGAGTTCTTTTTTTTATTTCTAGATTAGTTTGCTCGTCAGTAGAGTCCCTTTTTTAATTCTAGATTAGTTTGCTCGTCAGTAGAGTCCTTTTTTTAATTCTAGACTAGTTTGCTCGTCAGTAGAGTCCCTTTTTTATTTCTAGATTAGTTTGCTCGTCAGCAGAGTACCTTTTTTAATTCTAGATTAGTTTGCTCGCCAGTAGAGTCCCTTTTTTTAAATTCTAGATTAGTTTGCTCGTCAGTAAAGTCCCTTTTTTAATTCTATATTAGTTTGCTCGCCAGTAGAGTCCTTTTTTTTAAATTCTAGTTCAAGTTTGCTAGTCAGTAGAGTCCCCTTTTTAACCCTGGATTAGTTTGCTCGTCAGTAGAGTCCCTTTTTTAATTCTAGATTAGTTTGCTCGTCAGTAGAGTCCCTTTTTTAATTCTAGATTAGTTTGCTCGCCAGTAGAGTCCTTTTTTTAAATTCTAGATTAGTTTGCTCGTCAGTAGAGTCCGTTTTTAATTCTAGACTAGTTTGCTCGTCAGTAGAGTCCCCTTTTTAAATTCTAGATTAGTTTGCAGTAGAGTCCGTTTTTTTAATTCTAGATTGGTTTGCTCGTCAGTAGAGTCCCGTTTTTAATACTAAAAATGCGGACATACAAAACACACACACACACACGCACACACATCCATTTAGTTTCTGAGGTATGCCAATAAAATGTTCACAAACCTTCGTGCAAAAATGTTCATTTTCGATTTTCGGCCCATTACTATAAGTACCCTACGGAAAGTTAAAAAAACTTATTTTCGTATAATATAAATACATACCTTGTATAGCTCCATCCACAACAGTATACTCCTCATCGTCTTCATCATCATCATCCCCGTTGTCATCGTCATCGCCCTGCTCCGACTTCGAATCCTCCTTAGCAGTAACAACCACCATCATAATTTCACCGTCCCGTTTTTTCACAAACATTTTATTATCGTGCGTCCTGCCCCAACAAATTTCATCGCACTGCATATCATATTCACCATTGCGCAGAGCATCAGCCCAGACCTTGTATTTCTCCACATTCAGCTTCGCCAAAAAACCACTTTCAAGTTTTTCATAAAACTCTAAAATAAATTCCCCTAAAGTGTCTTTTAAAATCACTTCTGGGTCGGTGCCTGGGGTATGGTTAAGGTTGATGTCGTTCATGTTGTATTTCAGTTTGGGTCTTAGATTTTTGGTAGGGGCTAAATGTTTGGTGAGTTTATCCAGAGGGCAGTTTTCGATGTGGTCGTAGATTAGTTCTTTCCATTGTTTGAGGTTGTTGAGTAAGTATTTTTCCCGTACGCCGCGTTTGTTCAACGACGCCATCAGAGCATCGACTTGCTCTTTGGTGTAGAAGAAGGACCATCGGGTTTTTTCAACGTCGCCGTGGATTTTGCAAGACTTGTTATCGGCGGTGCACATGTTCAACTCCAAAGCTTTGCTGTGTAGGGTTTCAGTATCGATCACGGTGTTATTGTTGACGATTTTAGAAATAATACTGATGTCGTTATTCTCTTTATCGTGCGTAGATCTATGGTGTTCCCTGAAAATAGCTTTTAACTTCGTTATGTACGCGCCGGGCTCGCAAGTAGACAGCACAGGATGCTGTTGTACAATATTTGTTAAACACGGTCCTGCATTGGGTTCATGATCTTCCACAAACAACCCTGGTACAGACTCAAACAACCAGTATCTCCTGTAACATCTATCCGAACCTAAATAAATCTCATGGCTAAATTGTATTCTCAGTAATTCATCACATTCTTCAGTGTACTTCTGCATATAAGCTTGATGCTCCTTTTCAAAAGCCTCCAACGCCGCTGAATTTTCCCTGGATTTAGTAGAACTAAGTTGCATGTCTTTGGTGTACTTTTGTTTATTAGCAGTATATTCCGCCTCGGTTTTGCGATGCGTAGCTTGCAAATTCTTTAAATCTAATTTAGCTTTAGCGCTGGCCTCCAAACGCTTCTCAACAAGGTCTCTAATCGGCGTGTACGTTAAAATTTGATCCATCAAACACATCAGCAGTTTCAAAATATCCCTTCTAGGCATCTGGCATAAATTATACATACTCAAAGCTTTTAAAATATGCGGTTGCGTTATTCTTAACTGCAACCCCGGATCATCCGTGGAATCATAACCGCCTCTCGTAGAATACCTAAGTTTTGCAAGATTGTCTTTGACTTTAGCCCCAGAAGACAACAGATGCAACCGCAATAACTCTGATAAAGTAACCGCGTCCATTCGTTTCTTGATCAAACTTGAACCAAACTGCATGTTTGCGTACCTCCATGCAGCCGTTGCGCAATCCACGTACCACGGTAAAGTGTTTTCCTTGGCAGTTGAAAACAAAGCCGGTACCGGTCTTGCATTCCCATCAGCCGCATATTCCTCAGCCAGACAATCAAAAATATAACCCAAAAGCAGTTGAAAAATATCATGCAAGGGCCCATTGATTTCCTTCAACGTAAGCGCCCGTTCAAAGGTATCCCAGCTGACGCCATGAGGAAAGGATTCTTTAACATGCAATTCCTTTTGAAACGTTTCCAGAAATTCTAGTAAAGTTATAAAATCTCCAACCAATTTGTTCGGGATGAATGCGTCGATGGGTATTGGTGATGGTATGGCTCGTTGATCGGTTAATTCCAGGTCCTCTTTTACAGCATGCCATTGTCGCAAGAATTTATGCATGCGCGTTTCCATATCTTTGACGTTCATTTTGGCGATTTGCCGTTCCTCCTTCAACATTTTTTTATCTTCCAGAATTTTCTGTTTGATTTCTTCACCTGAGGAAGAAAAACGCGATTGTAAAATATAACAGGTAGTAAACGAGCTTGAAGAAGTTTTACTTCAAAAAATATAAATTTAGTTTTTTGGCATATTAGATATCGTTTGAAAGACCTTTTTAAAAGAATTCGAATACTGAAATGAATCATGTGGTTTATCCACTTTTAATAAATTTGTAGTAAACGGAGCTTAAAGAAGTTTTACTTCAAAAAATTTAAATTGTATTTTCTTGGCATGTTGGTTGTCGCAAATATGCCATTAACTATGAGATTTGTCCACTTTTAATGAATTGGTAGTAAACGAGCTTAAAGAAGTTTTACTTCAAAAATTTTAAATTTCATCTTTTATGACATGTGAGGTATCATTTGAAAGATCATTTTTAGTAGAATCCGAATACCGAAATAAGTTTCCAAATTTCTAAACAAGAAATGTATAACACTTTTTTCCAAATTACAACAAAACGGCATAATGATTATTTTTTCTGATTATATGAAGTAAAAAACATTTATAGTGAGAACTAAAACTAACCTTCTCGTCCTTTGTCCACAAAATATACACTTATTACGAATTTGTAGCAGAAGATTCTATAGAAGTTTTACTTCAAAAAATTAAATTTGTACTTTTTTGGCATTTTAAGTATCGTTCAAAAGGTCTTTTTAAATAGAATCCGAATATCGACATTAACTATGTGGTTAGTCCACAAAATAAACACTTTTTACTAAAATTTGTAGTCGAGAAGTCTGAAGAAGTTTTACTTCAAAAATTTAAGATTGTTTTTTTTATGGCATGTTAGGTATCATTTGAAAGGTCTCAACGAGTAGAAAACGAATTTCGATAAAAAATAATTATATTGTAATAAAAACGTTATATACATAACCATATTTTACTGCAAAAAATATTAGAATGTTAAAATTTATTATTTTTTTGTAATAATTGAGGTTTAAAACATTTGTAGCAAAAACTACAATTAACAATTTCCTTTGTCCACAGAATATTCACTTTTTACGAATTTGTAAGAGAGGAGCCTAAAGAAGTTTTACTTCGAAAATTTTAGACTGTATCTTTTATGGCATGTGTAGGATCATTTCAAAGGTCTTTTCAAATTAAATCCAAACTAGATCTCCGAAACCGCTAAACCTATCTTCATGAAAATTTGATCAAATCTTCATTCTGTTAATACAAGTAAAATGTATTTGAACTATACAAATCGGACGCTCCGTTCTCTTGAAAACTGAGTTACCGTTTTTGGCTCTTTTTGCCCCATATCTTCGGAACGGCTAGACCTGCCTTTGACAAAAACTAATCAGCACGTCTCCTTATCAATACGAATCGAATGTTTTTTGAATTATTCAAATTGCTTCATACGTGTTCCCGAAATCGTCGACGAAAATTTGTATCCGAACACACACACATGCACGCACACACACACACACACACATACACACACACATACATCAATTTTCTCCAAGATATGCCAACATATTCAGAAACCTCTGAAACGTGAAGATATATAAAAAATTTCATTTTCGATTTTTTTGCGATTACTTACCCTATGGAAAGTTAATTATAAATAAATCAATTTATCATCTCCAGAACATTAACAATCGTCATTTCATTTCGAATCAAATTCCAACTAGCTGTAAGTGGAATTCTGTCTTAAGGCAATTAAGGCATCGTGCCTTAAGGCAAGTTGCTGGAACTTCCCGTGCCAAAAATTATTATTTTTTTAAAAACGATTAACATTTTTGAAAAAATTTCACTTCGAAAAAATAAGATTTTTTAGAAATTTTAAATCGGACAAAAAATTACTTTTTTTGAAAAAAAAATTTTTTTTAAAAAAAATTTTTAAACAATTTTTTTTATAAAAATTTTTTTTTGGAAAAAATGTTATCTTCATTTTGATATATTTTGGAAGATCTGAACTTTTTTTCAAAGCAATCGTACTGCTTTAACTGCATAGAGACGAAATATAGAAGCGCGTAAGCGCCGCGTCGCTGTCTAACGGAAAAACAATAGTACGGAACCCATAGAAATGTAAACAAAACTTAAACTTATTGTTAAAATCTCAATAAAATATCTGATAATTTGATATGCATATGTCTAATGTCTAATGATTATTGTTGACCGCCAAATGTTATTTTTTTTTAGTTTTTTTTACTAGATCTCCGAAACCGCTAGACCTATCTTCATGAAAATTTGATCAAATCTTCATCTTATTAATACAAGTAAAATGTTTTTTGAACTATACAAATCGGACGCTCCGTGCTCTTAAAAACTGAGTTACCGTTTTTGGCACTTTTTGCCCCGTATCTCCGGAACGGCTAGAATGTTTTTTGAATTATTCAAATTGCTTCATCCGTGTTCCCGAAATCGTCGACGAAAATTTGTATCCGAACACACACACATGCACGCACACACACACACACATACATCAATTTTCTCCAAGGTATGCCAACATATTCAGAAACCATACCAGATATATAAAAATTTTCATTTTCGATTTTTTTGCGATTACTTACCCTATGGAAAATTAATTATAAATAAATCAATTTATCATCTCCAGAACTTTAACAATCGTCATTTCATTTCGAATCAAATTCCAAAAAAAAAAATAGTTGCCAAATTTACCCAAAATTGAAAAAGTGCTCCCGCATAGTCACAGTCTAAACGCATTTGCAAATAATTCTGTGCGACATTTTCACTTATACTGTGCTCAGCTTGGCGGCATTTTCACATTTTTCAATAATTTTCACAAAATTGGAAAAGTGCTCCAGTACACAAACAGTCTAAACGCACTTGGGTAAACATTTGTACCAGAGTGGCGCTTAGACTGTTCTTAGCTTGGGTGATTTTTTGAATTTTTAATCCAAAATTACAAAAAAATTTTTTTGAAAAAAAAATTAGAAACAAAAATTTTTTTTTTCCAAAATCAATTATTTTGTTGAAAAAAGCAGAAAGTTCTTTGAATCATTTAAATCGGACGCTTAGTTCTCTCAAAAACAGCAATTTTTTTTAAATTTAGCTCTGTATCTCCGAAACCTCTGGGCCTACCTTTGCCAAAAACTAATCAGCACATCTCCCTATCAATAGGAATCGAATGTTTTTTAAACCATTCAAATCGGTTGATCCGTTCTCTTAAAAACTCGCTTTCTATTTTTTGCACTCTTTGCTCCATATCTCCGTAACGGCTGGACCTGCCTTTGCCAAAAACTAATCAGCACATCTCCCTATCAATAGGAATCGAATGTTTTTTAAACCATTCAAATCGGTTGATCCGTGCGCCCGAAAACGTGGACGAAAAAACGCGGACATACAAAACACACACACACACACACACACACACACACACACACACATCCATTTTTTCTGAAGTATGCCAAAATGTTCAGAAACCTTCAAAACGTCGAGAAATGTAAAAATTTTCAATTCCGATTTTTGGACGATTACTATAACTTACCCTACGGGAAGTTAATAATGACATTAACAAAGTGGTAAAATATGAAAAATATGCACTTTTAATTAATTTGCAACAAACGGGCTTAAAGAAGTTTTACTTCAAAAATATTAAATTGGCATTTTGTCCATTGTTTGATAGGTCTTTTTGAATATTATGTTAATAATGACATCAACAACGTAGTTTGTCCAAAAAATATACACTTTTCACGAATTTGTAGCAGAAGAGTCTAAAAAAGTTTTACTTCAAAAATTTCAGATTGTATCTTTTATGGCATGTGGGGTATCATTCGAAATGTCGTTTTAAATAGAATCCGAATACCGACATTAACTATGTAGTTTGTCCATAAAATATACATTTTTACAAATTTGTAGTAAACAAGCTTAAAGAAGTTTTACTTCATAAATATTAAATTGGCATGTTGTTCATCGTTTGATAGATTTTTTTGAATAGAATCCGAATACTATCATTAACAAAGTGGTTTGTCCACAAAATATACATTTTAATTAAGTTGTAGTAAATGAGCTTAACGAAGTTTTACTCCAAAAAAATTAATTGTATTTTTTAGCATGTTGGGTATCATTTGAAGGGTCTTTTTAAACAGAATTCGAAAACTGACATTAACCATGTGTTTTCTTTACATGATATACACTTTTAAAGAATTTATAATAAACTAGCTTAAAGAAGTTTTACTTCAAAATTTGTAAATTGTATCTTTTATGGCATGTTGGGTATCATTTGAAAGGTCTTTTTGTACAGAACCCGAATACTGAAATCAACAACGTGGTATGTCTACAAAATATACACTTTTTCGAATTTGTAGCAAAGGAGTCTAAAGAAGTTTTACTTCAAAAATTTTTGATTATATATTTTATGACATGTGGGGTATCATTTGAAAGGTCCTTTTGAATAAAATCCGAATACTCATATAAAGCAAGTGGTTTGTCCACAAAATATACACTTTTAATGAATTTGTAGTAAACGAGCTTAAAGAAGTTTTACTTCAAAAATATTAAATTGGCATGCTGTTCATCGTTTGATAGATATTTTTAAATGGCATTCTAATACTGGCATTCACAACGTTGTTAGTCCACAAAATATACCCTTTTAATGAATTTGTAGTAAACGAGCTTAAAGAAGTTTTACTTCAAAAATTTTAGATGGCATCTTTTATGCATGTAGTGTATCATTTGAAAGGTATTTTTTAGAAGAATCCGAATACTGACATTAAGACCGTAGTTTTTCCAAAAAATATACACATTTTACTAATATGTACCAGAAGTGTCTAAAGAAGTTTTACTTCAAAAGTTTTAGATTTATTTTTTATGGCATGTGGGGTATCATTTGAAAGGTGTTTTTTAGTAGAATCCAAATACTGAAATAACTTTTGAAATTTCTAAAGCACTTGATGTCAAATTCGAGTTTATCGGTCTAAATATCTTTGAAAAATGTATTTCTTTTGCTTTTTAACAAATGTATTTGTATTGTTTGCGTCGTGTTTTAAATATATATATATATATATATATATATATATATATAATTAATTAATTATGTAGTTACATTGAATGATTTAAATTTTTGCAATCAGTTCAGATACATCCTTTTTCAAATTTGGTCTCATTCGATTCAGAATGACTTGAAATGTCGAGAAAATTAAAGCAAATTGTGTTTATTTCTATTTTACACTTACTACTTTTCTTATGTGCAAACGGCTTATCCTTCAGCCCCTTAGAGTCACCATTCGCCATATTATAAGCAGCCTGTGATCCATCGACCTTCGAAAAATATTTAGCTATACTTTCTTGCTTCTGGTGCTTCAAGGAACTATTCAAATCAGCCTTGGACGCCTTCATCGATGATCCAAAAATTGGTTTCTCGCCAACAAAAATATCACTAAATTTCATTTCGTGTATATTGTATTTTTTTAAAATCGATTCTTTAATGCGAAAGATCCCATCGGCTTGTTCTACGTATTGTTTTAGGAATAGTTTATTTTTGGGGCGATTGTAGGAGCTTTTTTTTCGCTGAATGTGCTCTGAATTAAGGGTGATGATTTTGGAATCTGGTTTTATTGGCAAGATTTTGACATCGTAGGTGTAAGATCTGAAAGAGGAATGGATAGATTTAATATTAATATTATAAGAAATCTTGTTTTGATGTAAAACTTCTTCAGGCGCGATTAGGGAGTAAATCTGTGCAAATGCAACGCGAAGCGTTACGGCAAGGTCGAGTGCCAATGATTCGTCATCATGCGCTCTCGATGAGATTTCTATACGGGTCGGTTGTGATTGGTCGTCGTGTCGCGTGAGAGGGTTCTCCATATATAGAGAACCATATTGTTCGGAATGTCGTTAGATTTTAAAGTTAGGTCCTAGTAGAAATCTTGTCAGAATCGGAAAAATATTTTATCCTGTCTCCAGTAAATAATTATAGAGAAAATAATAAAACAAATGAAAATACTGTGCCGTGTAAGGAACGTAAATATATTGAAGAAATTTGTATTATTTTAAACTAATACAAATTTAAACTAAAACTAAACATTTACAAAAAAATCAAAAATTTTGCAATAAAAAATACATGTGATGTTTGCTAGGAAAGGTTTTTTTTTTAATTTAGCAATAATGATAAATAATAAAATAAATAAAAGTACAAAGGATAGAAATGAATAGATAGAAGAATGATTTAATATAAAATAAAAGCAAATAATAATAGAAATAAAATTAATAAATAAAATAAATCAAATTTCTGAATAGCTAGGGGAGGTGGGGCAATTTTGAAAATCACCACGTATCACCAAGGGGACGGGGGAGTCCTAAAATCCTTAAAAAATCGATTACGTGATTAATGGACGCCCCCTTACTATATATTTTTGAGGTTATTAAAAATAATAAAAAAATATTGGTTAATAAAAAATTATTGGTTAATAAAAAAATATTTTTATATCCAGCTGCTCAAAGAATGTGACTGTATCGCCAGCGAAATAGTCAAAAAAAAACAAGCAGTCAATGAATGTACACTTTTTACGAATTTGTAGAAGACGAGTCTAAAAAAGTTTTACTTCAAAATCTTTTAATTGTATCTTTTATCGCTTGTTTGAAAGGTCTCGACAAGTAGAAAACGATTTACCCAAAAACATGATAATATTGTAATAAAAACGTAAAACTATATTTTAACGCAAAAATATTAGAATGTTGATTTTTTTTTAAATAATTAAGGTGTAAAATATTTGTAGCAAATACTTAATTGTCGACTAATAATAAAATAAAAAAAATATATACTGATTTATCCACTAAATATACACTTTTCACGAATTTGTAGCAGAGGAGACTTAAGTTTTACTTCAAAAATTTTAGATTAAATTTTTTATGGCATGTGGGGTATCATTTGAAAGGTTTTTATGAATAGAATCCGAATACTGAAATTAACAATGTGGTTTGTCCATAAAATATACACTTTTAATGAATTTGTAGTAAGCGAGCTTAAAGAAGTTTTACTTCAAAATTTTTAGATTGTATCTTTTATGCCATGTGGAGTATCTTTTGAAAGGTATTGTTGTATAGAATCCGAATACTGAATTATTTTTTTTATTTTACCCTTTTTACGAATTTGTAGCAGAGGAGTCTAAAGAAGTTTTACTTCAAAAATTTTAGATTAAATTTTTTATAGCATGTGAGGTATCATTTGAAAGAACTTTTTGAATAAAATGCAAATACTGAAATTAACAATGTGATTTCTTCACAAAATATACATTTTTAATAAATTTGTAATAAACGAGCTTAAAGAAGTTTTACTTCAAAAATATTACATTGGCATTTTGCTCATCGTTTGATAGGTCTTTTTAAATAGTATCCGAATATTAACATTAACAACGTAGTTAGTCTACAAAATATATACTTTTCAAAAATTTGTAGAAGAGAAGTCTAAAGAAGTTTTACTTCAAAAACATTAAATTAGCATGTTGTTCATCGTTTGATAGATCTTTTTGAATAGTATCCGAATACTGACATTAACAACAATTTTTGCAGTTTGTCCACAACATATACACTTTGTAGCTAAAAAGTCTAAAGAAGTTTTACTTCAAAATTTTTAGATTGTATCATTTTTGGCATGTGGGGTATCATTTGAAAGGTAATTTTTAGTAGAATCCGAATACTGAAATAACTTTTCAAATTTCTAAAGTACTTTATATTGAATTAGAATTTAACGTTCTAATTATCTTTGAAAAAGTATTAATTTTAATTATATGAAGTTCTTCAAATACAATTACATGATGAGTGAAATTGTGAAAACAATATTTCTTCAGGCGTTGTTTAACATAATTATTCTCTGGAATTTAATAGAAATTAAAAAATATTAAAGCAATTCAGCTTTAGTCTAACAAGCCAAAGATATATCTTTTGGCAGAAGTATGTCTAAGTCACTTTTGGAAATTGTAAAGAAAAATCTTATGATAACTGCACCATCTAAAATTCTGTTATCATAAGATTCTTCCTTGCTTGTTTATATGTAAAATATGCCTGATCACACAGCAAACGGACATTTTCACAGTTTCACTAACAAGAAACAAGCATAAGATATATTTTATTTTACTTACTTAGTTCCGTCTGTTATAACTTCATTAACTTTAACAATTCGTGCTTCACCAAATTCCTCATCCGATGGTACTAGAACTTTCTCGCCCACGAAATATTTATCTTTAGCATATAGAAAGACATCTTCTAGCATATCCCCCAAGTTTTTCCTTTTGGTCTGAGAGGCCAAATATAAAATTGGACCTCGCAACTCTGGTGGAAACTTTTTGAGTTTTCTAGTTGCATCTTCTTCACTTTTTAGAGCCTCTGCGTATGTTAGATTTGATTTGCCGGTCATGGAACATGACCAGACCATGGAGTTCACTAGGATTATCCTTTCGCAGTATTCCCTGGGGAGAAAAAATACATTTAAATAATTGTAAATATACTAGCTGACCCGGCAAACATAGTTTTACCTAAAAAATATTTCTAGTATAAAATGTTTAGTGCAGAAATAACTAACTGATTGCAAATGTGGTGCATAAGTGAAAGGATATTTCAAAATACAAGTTGTGATATATGGGAACAAAACTAAGAATTTCAAGACCTTTCTAACGATGTATAATACTTTATATGTTTTCTTTAAAAAAATATCGAAAAGTGTGGATATTTGCAGGAACCTAACCTTACTTTACATTTCAACAAAAATCATACAAATTCTATACCACAATCTAAACTGCAAAGCATACAAAAGAACTTTATATGGACAAAATATGCAGAATAAAATTACGAATAAAATGATGTATAATTTGATATGTGTCCCAATATAATTTTCTCGGGTTGTATTTTAACATTGCAACTTGCCTGTAGGCCACACCGTTGGAGATACAAAGTTGTGATAAATGGGACAAAAACTAAGAATTTTGAGACCTTTCTAACGATGTATAATACTTTATATGTTTTCTTTGAAAAAGTATCGAAAAATGTGGATAGTTGCTGTAACCTAACCTAACTTTACATTCTAAATGAATATTCACACAAATAAAATTGCCTCTCCCATTGGAAATACAATAATGCAATATATAGGAGAAAAACTAAGAATTTTGAGACCTTTCTAAGGATGTATAAAACTTTATAAGTTTTCTTTAAAGAAGTATCGAAATATGTGGATAGTAGCTGCAACTTAGCCTTACTTTACATTTTAAATGAATATTCATACAAATAAAATTGCCTTTCGCATTGGAAATACAATGATTCAATATATAGGAGAAAAACTAAGAATTTTGAGACCTTTCTAATGATGTATAAAATTTTATATGTTTTCTTTGCAAAAATATCGAATAGTGTGGGTAGTTGTTAGAACCTAACCTTACTTTACACTTCAATATTTGAATTTGTTAATAAAAATTATTGAAAAATGTATGATTTGTTCCCTTGCAACTTGTGTGTTATCTGCTGATGTCGAAAAGAGTAACAAACTCTCGGTATGAGAAGGCTCTCATATGTAACACATTTTTTAAATAAATATCTCATTATAGTTTCTACTTCGTGTTACCAGTAGTCAATGAACCTAAGATGAGTAAAAACAATTGGTACTAATTATAATTAAATAAATAAATATAACAGTAATGTAATACACTGTTAATATTTTATATGGTTTCTTTAAAGAAATATCGAAAAGTGTGGATAGTTGCAGGAACCTAACCTTACTTTACATTTCAACAAAAATCACACAAATTCCAAACTACAATCTAAACAGTAAAAGATACAAAAAAACTTTGTATGTTGAAAAAATGCACAATGAAATTACAAATAAAATGATATATAAATCATTAAGTGTGTTCATATAATTTTCTCGAGATTTTTGAGTTTTCCTTGAATTTTTCAACTGCAACTTGCTTGTAGGGCTCACCGTTGGAAATACAAAGTTGTGATATATGGGTAAAGTGTTAAGAATTTTGAGACCTTTCTAACGATGTATAATACTTTGTATGGTTTCTTTGAAGAAGTATCGAAAAATGTGGATAGTTGCTGGAACCTAACCTTACTTTACATTCTAAATGAATATTCACACAAAAGATAAGAAAAAACTTTGTATGGTTAAAAGATGCAGAAAAAATTACGAATAAAATGATGTACAATTCGATATATGTCACAATATAATTTTCTCAAGATTTTCCAATTTTTCTAGTATGGATAGTTGCTGCAACCTAACCTTACTTTACATTTCGATATTAGAATATTCACACAAAATCCTAACTACAATCTAAACAGTAAGAGATACAAAAAAACTTTGTATGTACAAAAGATGCAGAATAAAATTCTGAATAAAATGATATATAAATCATTAAGTGTATTCATATAAATTTCTCTATATTTTCCAATTTTCTTAGTGTATATAGTTGGTGGAACCTAACCTTACTTTACACTTTAATATTTGAATATTGTTAATAAAAGTTACCGGCTAATGTATGATTTGTACATTTTGGACTTATACAAAAGAAACACAAACTCTCTGTACATGTAATTGGTCACATTTTTTCTTGATAAATATTTCTTATTTAGTTTCTACTTGATGTTATCGATAGTCAATGAACCTAAGATGAGTAAAAACAATTGATACTGATAAAAATAAATAAATAAATAAATAAAAAAGTAATGTAATACTGTTAATATTTTATATGGTTTCTTTAAAGAAGGATTGAAAAATGTAAATACTTGCTGGAACCTAGCCTTACTTTACATTTGAACAATTAAGTATTCACACAAAATCCTAACTACAATCTAAACGATAAAAGATACAAAAAAACTTTGTTGGTATGAAAGATGCAAAATAAAATTACGAATGAAACAATGCATTATTCGATATATGTCCCAATAGAGTTTTCTCAAGATTTTCATATTTTTCTAGTATAGATAATTGCCAGAACCTAACCTTACTTTACATTTCAACATTCGAATATTCACAAAAATCCCATACTACAAGCTAAACCGTAAAAAATACAAAAAAACTTTGTATGGACAAAAGATGCAGAATAAAATTACCTATAAAATCATATACAATTCGATATATGTCACAATATAATTTTCTCAAGATTTTCCTATTTTTAGTGTAAATAGTTGGTGGAACCTAACCTTACTTTACACTTCTACATTTGAATATTAAGTTACCGGCTAATGTATGATTTGTACATTTTGGACTTATACGAAAGAAACACAAACTCTCTGTATGTGTCATTAGTAATTAGTTACATTTTTTCTTAATAAATATTTCATTATAGTTTCTACTTCATGATAGGATAAGTAAAAACAGTGGAGAATGATTATAAGGTCATTAAATGAATAAATATCATTGTAAAGTCATTTTGTCCATATTTCTCCTACGAATAAGTTTGACAAGAGCTTGAAGTGATATGAATAAATAATAAGATATTCATTTAGGGCTCTTAAGGGTTATGTCACAAATTTACTCACTATAAGTGCATCATGCTTAAAAACAAACAAAACAGTATTAAATTTTACCTAAGCATTATATATAATTAGTAACTAATACTTTTACTACCATATATCAATTACCCAATTATCTACTTACTCATAATCGCGAAAGAGCTCATTCGTTATCTCACAAAAGAACACCTCATCATCATCTTTTAACATTTCCAGGACATCATTGGGGCGCTCCAGAGTCTTCTTTCTCAACAAAGGCATTTCGTACTTTTATTAATCCAATGTCAATATCAGTTAAGAAATTGGAGGGAATGCACAGACCTTTTCACTCGAATGACATTTAACGATTGCACTCGACTTGTACAGATGCACAAACTACAACTGGTGTATTATAAGTATCACAGGATAATTTTAATTATAGTAATTGTTATTATTATAATTATTTTGTTATATTAAAAGGCATTTTCGAACAACGTCCATCACCTGTTTTAGTTTTCGCTCATGCGCGAAGCCGAAGTAAAAGATTTGTAGTCATTTTGAAGATGTCAAATAGTGTTGCCAGAGGGGAGATAAAAGTTGAGTGACATGTAGGTGTCAAAACGTTTGAAAGGTTGACAAATTAAATTTAAATTAAACAAAAAATAAAAGTCGGATGCTAAATGAACGAGTTTTATCAAGTTATTTATATATTGTAACAGAAAAATATACTTTTACATGCCTTTATATAGAAATTTACCCTGGACAATATAATAACACAGGAAATTTTCTCTCTAGCTTAAATTAAATTATATAATTATTGCAGGTTCTTATGGATAAATATTGTTTGCTAATATTTTTATTAATTTTTCAACTACACTGTTATCTAAATTAGCTTCTGAATAAATATTATTACATTTATATATAATTATTACATTAGGTTTCTGTCACAAAATGGCGGCATTTATATTGGCGCCAATTGCACAAATTTCAAAAATGTTATAAATGAATTATAAATATTAATTTAAATTAATTTACTCTAATAATTAAGTTTGTTATAATTACACATTACACAAAAAGTTAAAACTAGTTGCCTTAAGGTAAAATGTAGTGATCGAACCATGTTATGATTAGAATCTACTCGATCGAACTAGGTATTTTGTCTGGGTATGTTGGGCTCAATATGAAAAAACCCAATAAATTATTATAAATAAATATTATTTAAAAATTTTAATTATTTTTTATAAAATTTATATTATATCATAAATAACAGATAATATTATTATTGATAAATTAGAAGTAAAATATGCCTTTTTGCCAGGAAAACTGAACTTTTTTATTTTATTTATGATTTATGAAATTTCTTGATAGTTTTTGATACTCATTCAAGTGGTCGGATCCATATTGTTAATAGTATCCAATTTTCGTCCCCAAAATGTATTTTTTTTGAAATTTTTTTCTCTGAATCTCCGAAACCGCTAAACCTGCCTTTGCATAAGTTTAATTAACTTTTTATTAAGTGAAAAGTGTATTAAATCATTCAAATCGGATGCTTATTTCTCTCAAAAACTGTAATTTTTTACACATTTAGCTCGGTATCTCCAAAGAGGCTAGACTTGCCTTTGCCAAAAACTAATCAGCACATCTCCCTGTGCTGAATTGAATGTTTTTTGAATCATTCAAATCGGATGCTCCGTTCTCTCAAAAACTCAATTTCTATTTTCTGCACTATTTGCTCCGTAAGTCCGAAACGGTCGGACCAACTTTTGCCAAAAACTAATCAGCACATCTCCCCATCAATAGGAATCGAATGCTTTTTGAATCATTCAAATCGGTACAGCGGTGCTCCCAAAAACGTGGACGAAAAATTGTATCCACACATACTAAGACACAGACTTCGTGAAGTAGAAGAGCAAGTGGCACTAATTAGGACAAAAGTATAATTAAACTAGCTGTAAGTGGAATTCTGTCTTAAGGCAATTAAGGCATCGTGCCTTAAGGCAAATTGCTGGAACTTCCCGTGCCAAAAATTATTATTTTTTTAAAAACGATTAACATTTTTGAAAAAATTTTACTTCGAAAAAATAAGATTTTTTAGAAATTTTAAATTGGACAAAAAATTACTTTTTTTTGAAAAAAAATTTTTTTTAAAAAAAATTTTTAAACAATTTTTTTGTAAAAATTTTTTTTTTAAAAAAAATGTTATCTTCATTTTGACATATTTTGGAAGATCTGAACTTTTTTTCAAAGCAATCGTACTGCTTTAACTGCATAGAGACAAAATATAAAGCGCGTAAGCGCCGCGTCGCTGTCTAACGGAAAAACATTGGTACGGCACCCATAGGAATGTAAACAAAACTTATACTTATTGTTAAAATCTCAATAAAATATCTGATAATTTGATATGCATATGTCTAATGTCTAATGATTATTGTTGACCGCCAAATGTTATTTTTTTTAGTTTTTTTTACTAGATCTCCGAAACCGCTAGACCTATCTTCATGAAAATTTGATCAAATCTTCATCTTGTTAATACAAGTAAAATGTTTTTTGAACTATACAAATCGAACGCTCCGTTCTCTTAAAAACTGAGTTACCGTTTTTGGCCCTTTTTGCCCCGTATCTTCGGAACGGCTAGACCTGCCTTTGACAAAAACTAATCAGCACGTCTCCTTATCAATACGAATCGAATGTTTTTTGAATTATTCAAATTGCTTCATCCGTGTTCCCGAAATCGTCGACGAAAATTTGTATCCGAACATACACACACATGGACGCACACACACACACACACACATACATCAATTTTCTCCAAGGTATGCCAACATATTCAGAAACCTCTGAAACGTGAAGATATATAAAAATTTTCATTTTCGATTTTTTTGCGATTACTTACCCTATGGAAAGTTAATTATAAATAAATCAATTTATCATCTCCATAACATTAACAATCGTCATTTCATTTCGAATCAAATTCCAAAAAAAAATAGTTGCCAAATTTACACAAAATTGAAAAAGTGCTCCCGCATAGTCACAGTCTAAACGCATTTGCAAATAATTCTGTGCGACATTTTCACTTATACTGTGCTCAGCTTGGCGGCATTTTCACATTTTTCAATAATTTTCACAAAATTGGAAAAGTGCTCCAATACACAAACAGTCTAAACGCACATGGGTAAACATTTGTACCAGAGTGGCGCTTAGACTGTGCTTAGCTTGGGTGATTTTTTGAATTTTTAATCCAAAATTACAAAAAAAATTTTTTGGAAAAAAAAATTAGAAACAAAAATTTTTTTTTTCCAAAATCAATTATTTTGTTGAAAAAAGCAGAAAGTTCTTTGAATCATTTAAATCGGACGTTTAGTTCTCTCAAAAACAGCCATTTTTTTTAAATTTAGCTCTGTATCTCCGAAACCTCTGGGCCTACCTTTGCCAAAAACTAATCAGCACATCTCCCTATCAATAGGAATCGAATGTTTTTTAAACCATTCAAATCGGTTGATCCGTTCTCTCAAAAACTCGCTTTCTATTTTTTGCACTCTTTGCTCCATATCTCCGTAACGGCTGGACCTGCCTTTGCCAAAAACTAATCAGCACATCTCCCTATCAATAGGAATCGAATGTTTTTTAAACCATTCAAATCGGTTGATCCGTGCGCCCGAAAACGTGGACGAAAAAAAGCGGACATACAAAACACACACACACACACACACACACATCCATTTTTTCTGAAGTATGCCAAAATGTTCAGAAACCTTCAAAACGTCGAGAAATGTAAAAATTTTTGATTTCGATTTTTGGACGATTACTATAACTTACCCTACGGGAAGTTAAAAATAAAATCTTAGCATTCTAGATCCTCCCTCCACAAAGTAATGATTTCCGTGGGGACAAAAGCTAAGGGATGAGTGCAGACAAAATATTTAGTCTGGTAAATCAAAAAAAAAAAATACACAAACACACACATGCTCATTTTTTTCTAAGAAATCCCAAAATGTTCAGAAACCTCTGAAACGTAAAGATATGCAAACATTTGCGTATGAATCGATTTTATTTCGGTGATTTGCACGATTTAAATCATTTTTTTATTTTATATTGATATTTATTAAAATTATTTTTTTATATCAATTAAAAATTTGATACGTATTGATACTATTCAAATAAAATATTATTTAAATCAGACTATTATACCTAGTTATTGCTTTATTCGAAAACCTATTAAAATACCATGGTAAAAAAATAAAATATTCGATCTAAATACATTATTAACATAATTTAACAGCAAACAGCAAAAATTTTGTAACATAATCACTGAATATTCAAATTACGCAATTCTGTCAAACAAATCTTTTCCACTGTGATTTTTATATATCTTTACGTTTCATAGGTTTCCGAACATTTTAGCATACCCTAGAAAAAATACAAAAAAATCGAATTCTTCAAAAAAATAAAATTGGTTCAAAAATTGCAAAATTTCTCAAAAATCTAATTTTTTCAGTTTTGCAAAGCCCTTTTTATTAATTTAGTTTTCGGTACGGAAAGTTCCAGCAATTTGCCTTAATTCGAAAACCAAATAAAACTATAATGCAAATATATTAATAAAAATTTTATTCAGTAACAAAATTGTTGAAATATTCAAATCGCGCCATTCTGTCAAACAGATTATCACCACTGTGTGACAGGGCCCTAATGTGTCAACACTCTTTTACGCAGCTGTCAAAACTTTTACATATATTTGAGGTTATGAACTTACAACAAAACAATAAAAGCAATAAAAACTGCATTATTAATTGAAATAAACGAAAATGGCAAGTGCAGCAGATAGTGAAAGCACTTTTGATTTATCTAAACTCGAAAAACTACTTGCAGATAGTGATTATATTAATCTAACCGAAGAAATTAAGGAAAACTTGACACCGAAAACGGCCGGCGATTGTTTAAGGTAATAATAGACTCATGGAGGTAGACTCATGGGGTAGACTTATTTAGTTATTTTATTTTTTACAGGGATGAAGAAAGCAAATCAAAAATATCATTCGTATCCACAGTGTTGGATAAAACTTTGCAAAACATTTCTTCTGAACCCAACGATGATTTATTTGCATTAGCTGCACAATGTTATCGGGTACTAAGAAACATGTCAGCCTTCTCTCCAGAACTTCAAACCTATATAGCTTGCGAAACCACAGTATTTCAAACCGCAGGCAAAATGCTAGACTTTTTACAAACCCAAAAAAATGTCTCACCAAAATGTTATTTATCCCTTATGCAATTCATCGGCAATAACACTGTACAGAATTCAAAAACACAACAACTAGTCTGGGATCACTTTGAAAAACAAATTTTGCACTGTCTAGACTCAACAGCTGAATTATCCAACGTTGCAGCAATGATTATATACAATGTGTTACTGGGAGACAAAACAAGGATTGAAAATCATGTTATTTATATTTTAAAAACCTTAGAAACAAATTCTTCCAAAGACATACCGTACACAGAGATTATATATGAGTATTACATCACAAACTGGGACACTCAGTTATCAAAATTGTATAATGAGCTTCCTAGTACAGTGAAACTTTTGATATTTGAAATCACTAAAAATATGATACAAGATGAAAGGACTTTGTCGCCTTCGTATTTACAATTTTTAGCTAATGAGTTTAAAGTTAAGTCAGATTGTATTCTAAAAACTGTCTCAACTTACGTAGAAGGTATTGAACCACAGGAGGTTGTAAGTTTGCTGAATATTTTGGCATCTGCAAGTGGAATGGAGTCCTACAAGTCTTGTTTCCAGGATGATAAGTCGTTATTCATTAATTGTGCATGTAAATATACCAAATACACATGCATTTTATTACATGCATTAATTTTAAATTCGTTTCTCGTAACAATTTTTGTACCTTGTAGTTTTATTACGAGCTATGCACTCAATGGGTAAAGAAAGTGATAATCATTTCACAAGTATTCAACGCTTAGCAGATTTAGCACCTGGTAGAACTGATGTCGAAATCGAGGCACACATTGCTTATGGATTCAAAGGACAGTTAATACGAATGCTTGGGAATTTGATGTATAAAAATCCTGTTAACCAAAAACAGGTACTTACAAACTAACGTAAATTATAACTTAAACCTACTATATTTGTTTTATACATTTTTTTGTATTTATAGATCCGTGAAATTGATTGTGTTGGAGTCCTGCTAGATTGTTGCAATATGGATGCAAGAAATCCACGTATCCTTTACTTTGTATTATAAATATTTTTGTATCTATCTTTATATATATATATATATATATATATATATATATATATATGTATATACGAGGTCTGTTCAAAAAGTACCCGGAATTACTAATAATTAAATTTCGCAAGTCTGGAGTGTCTGATTGTCAAAATTTTTTTTTTATTGTGTTGGTATACATGCCCCTAAAGTATGATGAAATTTTCAGCTATATTCACTGTTCACTTTGTCTGTGGTAGTCGCTAAGGTTCGACGTGTTTTTCTGAGCTCGGCGATTTTTACAATGGAAGAATTGAAAAGTCAAAGAATTTGTATTAAATTTTGCGTAAAAAATGAAATAAAGTGTTGCAAAGTGCAAAAATTCACCAGATATGGCTCCGTGTGACTTTTTCCTATTCCCAAAGTTGAAGAGACCCATGAAAGGACGGCGGTTTTCCTCGATTGAAGAAATAAAGGCCGAATCGCTGAGAGTGCTCAAGGACATATCAAAAAGTGAATATCAAGGGTGCTTCGAAAATTGGAAAAAACGCTGGCATAAGTGTATTATATCTGGGGGGGACTACTTTGAAGGGGACCACATTAATGTAGACGAATAAATAAATATTTTTTTGAAAAAACGAAAATTCCGGGTACTTTTTGAACAGACCATGTATATATATATATATATATATATATATATATATATATATATATTCCTTAATTTATGTCTTTAGTAATTATGCAATGGGTTATTTTGGCTGTTAGAAATATGTGCGAAGACTGTCCAGAAAATCAAGCTATAATATTAGAAATGAGAAAAGAAAGTTCTAAGTTTACTAATCTTTGTGAAAAGGCTGGAATTGTTAATTTCCAATAATATGTTCTGATTATTTTTTTTAATGCACTCAATATTTCTTTAAATAAAAATGATTTTGAAGATTTGTTTAGTTTTTATTTACTTTCATCATAAAATAAATTTAAGTCACAATTTATATTAGTAATGGAAAACCTTTCCGACTTTAAAATTCTAAATTATAAAGGTAAATGTTTGAAAAAAAATTGCAATATTTATTATAAAGTTATTTATAATTTTTATTTGTTAAGACAAGAGTAATGGAGTCTGTAAACATATTTTATCTAATTTAATTATAAATACTTTTAATTTCAAAATATGCAATCTTATTAGAAAAAAAAATCAATTCAAACGATTAAAAAAAACCTTCAATTATTAATTTTAATATTTTTTTCTTTGCAAATAATATTTTTATATAAGCAGAGTTTGGGTTATTAATTACTATTATTAATTATATATATATATATATATATATATATATATATATATATATATATATATATAAGAAATATTTTTAAGTTTAACCCATAGTTAATATATACAATTTGAACTTTTTTTTTAACTGCAACTTAACGATTAAATTCGGGGAAAAAAAATCATTTCTTTTTAATTTCCAAAAAATAAAATTTGTTTTGAATATCGAAAATAATCTGGATTTTCAAAATTTCGTTACGGTACGGAAAGTTCCAGCAATTTGCCTCAAGGCACGATGCCATACACCACTAGTTAAATCTTTAATTTTCCTGATAATCCCTGAATTTTTAATTTACAAACTATTTTATAACATAACAAATTAAATTAAATTATTACATTTTAACAATTGCATTATATATCTGAATTTTTTGAGTAATAAACCATTATTTCGATTTTTTCCTGATTTTAAGGAAAGGACATGATAGTCTGGAATTTTCCTAGATATTTTTTTCCAGGTACCCATTTCTGGATAAATTGAAAGTAATAAAATATAAATACGTTTTACATTTAGGAGTTTATTGAGGATTAAGTGTAAAATCCAAGAATGATTTTATTTTCGCTAAACTTACGAAATTTGCAAATAAAGTTTTACTCTACAAATAATACAATCTTAACATTGTGTTATAAAATATTTAACAATTAATAAAAGATTCTCTAAATATGGACCCATATACAATTTGCAAATAATCACACAAGTCTTTTTACCATAATTTTAAATTTTTTTTTATTCACACTCGATAGGATTTTTAGTCTTTCTTTGTAGCAAAAAATCTTTAAATGATATCACTTAAGTGTTTCGTAGGTTTGTAAATTGATGATTTTCAGAAATTTGGAAATCTTATTTTAGTATTCGGATTCTATTAAAAAAGACCTTTCAAATGATACCCCACATGCCAAAAAAAAAACAGCAAAAAATTTTGAAGTAAAACTTCTTTAAACTCCTCTTCTACAAATTCGTAAAATGGGTAAAATATAAAAGTTATTTCAGCATTCGGATTGTATTAAAAAAGACATTTTAAATGATACCCTACATGCTATAAAAGTACCAGCAAAAATTTTTGAAGTAAAACTTCTTTAAATTTCTCTGCTACAAAGTGTAAATTTTGTGGACTAAATTACATAGCTAATTTTAGTATTCGCTACAAAAGATTTTCACCTCATATATTAAAAAAAAAAAAAAAATTTCAACATTCTAATATTTTTTGCAATAAAATATGGTTTAACACATGTTTTACTATTATTACTATTATTATTACAATATGATTTCTTGTTGTGAAAATCGTTTTCTACTCGTCAAGACCTTTCAAATAATACCCCACATGCCATAAAAGTAACAATCTAAAAATTTTGAACTAAAACTTCTTTAAACTCCTTTGCCACAAATTCGTAAAAAGTGTATATTTTGTGAAGAAACCCTATACTTAATATCAGTATTCGGATTATATTCAAAAAAACCTTTCAAATGATGCCCCACATGCTATAAAAACACAATATAAAAATTTTGAAATAAAACTTCTTTAGGCTCCTCTGCTACAAATACGTAAAAAGTGTTTATTTCGTGGACAAACCACATTGTTATTGTCATTATTCGGATTCTTTACGAATTGGTAGCATAGGAGTGTAAAGAAGTTTTACTTCAAAAATTTTAGATTTTTTTTATGGCATGTGGGGTATCATTTGAAAGGTCTTTTAGAATAGAATCAGAATACTGCAATTAACTATATGGTCTATCCACTTTCAATGCAGATATCAGCCGAAACGTTCATTTGATATCAACAATTTAAGTATTTGTACTGCCCTATTGTGGTAAACAAATATAAGAACCTATATTCCCTTCTACCCTCAGTCTTCTTATAGACTTTGCGTTTAACTTTTATTAAATTCCTTCGCCCATCGTTTCCGTAACAGAGTGTCGAATGCATCCATCTGTATGCGCGCTCCGCATTCAGAATGCAGAATGCAGAAACGAGAAAAGTTTGCGGGCCGACTGCTCCACCGACAGCTCCACCGACTGCTCCACCGCCTTCGCCTTCCGTGCATATATTATAGTGGGAAAAAGCAAGCAAAGGCGCCTTCTCCAAAGTTTCCCCTTAAACCGATTTAAATAGCACTTGAAAATAATCTAACACTTGCCAAACGACTTCTCTACTCGATTCGACTCGATTCTGCATACAGATATTTGCTTATGCAAAAGAACCGGAGAGTGGAGTGTCGAAGAATTTATCAAGACGAGTATAGTATACATAGTATAGAGTAGATGGTTTTAAAAATATTATAGTCCTACGGAAAGTGGTTGAATTAAAATATTCATTATCTACCCGTAGGGTAAATTATAGCCAAAAATCGAAAATGATTATTTTTGCATATCTTTACGTTTCAGAGGTTTCTGAATATTTTGGCATACCTTAAAAAAATGGATGTGTGTGTATGTGCGGAGAAGTAATGGTTAGTTTTTAGCAAAGGCAGGTCTAGCCATTTCGAAGATACAGAGCCAAATGTGCAAAAAATGGCACTTTTTCGGAGGAATAAGCATCCGATTTGAATGATTTAAAACAACATTTGATTTCTATTTATAGAGAGATGTGCTGATTAGATTTTGGCAAAGGCAGGTCCAGCCGTTTCGGAGATACCAAGCAAAAAGTGCAGAAAATAGAAATCGAGTTTTTGAGAGAATGGAGCATCGGATTTGAATGATCTAAAAAACATTCAATTTGTAATGATTGGAAGAAGAGATTATTAGTTTTTGACCTAAAGGTAGGCCCAGCGGTTTTGGATAAATACAGAGCTAAATGTTAAAAAAATAGCAGTTTTTGAGAGAGCTGAACGTCCGATTTAAATTATTCAAAAAACTTTCTGCTTGTTTCAACAAAATAATTGCTTTTAGAAAAAAATTTTTGTTTCTAATTTTTTTTTCAAAAAATATTTTTGTAATTTTGGATTAAAAATTCAAAAAATTACCCAGGCTAAGCACATGTTAAGCGCCACTCTGGTACAAATGTTTACCCATGTGCGTTTAGACTGCTTAAGTACTGGAACAATTTTCGAATTTTGTGAAATCTATTGAAAAATGTGAAAATGCCGCCAAGCTGAGCACAGTATAAGTGAAAATGTCGCACGGAATTATTTGCAAATGCGTTTAGACTGTGACTATACGGGAGCACTTTTTCAATTTTGTGTAAATTAGACAACTTTCACATTTTTTTTAAAATTGAATTCGAAGTGAAATGAGGATTGTTAATGTTCTGGAGATAAATTGATTTATGATTTATTCAGATTTGATTTGCTCAGATATAACAAGATAGTAAAAATAATGAAAGTTACTGAAAGTATTTGTAATAATGTATTTGAAAACGTTTGAAATTTCTCGAATATTTCATTACGGTACGGAAAGTTCCAGCAATTTGCCTTGAAGCACTAAGCCATACACCACTAGTTTTTCCTAATCAACCGCGCTTTTAGAAAACACTTTGTGCGTGTACTAGACACGTGTTCATGTATCTATAATGTGTAATAAAAATGTACAAAATTGAATAACTTGCAAATTCTCCACTATCATTTGTATACCCCTTATTCCCTAACAATTCAATCTTAAGCATCGAAACATCTAAATCATCGAATCAAACATCTAAATCATCGTCGTAAATTAACGTCGTCTTAACGGAATAATCTTCTATCGGATATATTTTACGACATCAGTTCCGACGTTTATGTTTACCGTCGCTTTTAACGGCCTTTTAACGGTTTCCTTCCGTCTTAAACGTAAATATCATAGAAACGGCAGCAGAAGATGAAGCTGCAGCAGCAGCAGAGGCGAGGAATTATTGCTAATTAAACTCTAGTAAGACATTTTGATGGCTTTGTGCAATTTCTAAAATTATCGTTAATTGAATGGAAATTATTGGAGTGTAAGGGGTATTAGGTAAACTTTCTCGAAGGAAACTCAGAATTAGTACAAAACGAAAAATGAAACGAAAAAAATATATGATTAATAAGAAAATATGACAGTTTTTGAGAAAACTAAGCATCCGACGTGAATGCTTCAAAAAACATTCGATTCCTATTGACAGAGAGATGAGCTGAATGGTTTTTGACAAAGGCAGGTGCAGTCGCTTCGGAGATACGAAGCAAAGATTGCAGAGAATCGAAATAGAGTTTTTGAGAGAATTAAATTCGTGAAGAAGTGGTGGAATAATGAAAGTTACAGTATTTGTAATAATATATTTGAAAACGTTTAAAATTTATCGAATATTTCATTACGGTACGGGAAGTTCCAGCAATTTGCCTTAAGGCACGATACCATACACCACTAGTTAATAATTAAAATTACCATTTTTTTTATTTTACCCCAATTTAAATATTTTTACTTTTACCCGCGCACAATAATAAATTCCGTTCCATTTCCATTTATCAGTTCCTCTGAAGGCGGTGGAGACGGCGGTGGAGACCACCTACACATCTCACGAAGAGGGCGGTTCGGGGCGTACAGAATAAAGTGAATTCTTTAACTTTGTAAACTTAAAAATACTTACCGTGTATATTTTATTATTCCT